TAGGCTGGCTGGGTCACGAGTCCGCGGACTGTACCAATTGGCTGTCTATGGTGGGGGGAGAGCCAGCTAGACTAGACGAGCATTCTTCGTCCCGCTCATGACTCCACTAAATCGTCCCCCCTTCCCTTATATAGGTATTTAGTTATGGAGAGAGGAGCAATGGGTGGGGCGGGGTTGAGGGGTAAGTGACCAATAATCTGAGGCTAGGGCGGGGTTATGCAGAATACAGGGCTGAGCGGGGTATAAATAGTACTGATGCTATTTGTGCTCCTCATATTGATCGAGAGAGGAGGGATGTGTGTGATTGTTATTGTGTGTCATCACTGAACAACTACTACAGTGTGCCAGCAGAGGGCCCAGCATAACAAACACTGATACTGGGGGGGGGGGGGGGGGGGGGGGGGGGGACACTGATCGCACTGACATTGGGGGGATGGGGGACCCTGATCACAATGACACTGGGGAGGGGGGGACACTGATCACAATGACACTGGGGGGATGGGGGACACTGATCACACTGACACTGGGGGGATGGGGGACACTGATCACAATGACACTGGGGGAGGGGGGGGGACACTGATCGCACTGACATGGGGGGGGGGGTGTGGGGGACACTGATCACACTGGGGGAGGGTGGGAACCTGATCACACTGGGGGAGGGGGGGACACCGATCACACTGGGGGAGGGGGGGAACCTGATCACACTGGGGGAGGGGGGGACACACGATCACACTGACACGGGGGAGGGGGGACACTGATCGCAATGACACGGGGGGGGGGGGGGGCACTGATTACACTGACACTGGGGGGATGGGGGACACTGATCACAATGACACTGGGGGAGGGGGGGGACACTGATTGCACTGACACTGGGGGGATGGGGACACTGATCACAATGACACTGGGGGGAGGGGTGATGCTGATCACATTGATGCTAAGAGGGGAAACTGATGATGCTGGGGGGAGGGGGACACTGATAACACTGACACTGCAGAGGGGGGACACTGAAAACATTCACCCCCTCTGCTGTGAAAATCCTAAGTAGGTTTTGGCAAGTCCCCCTTCCCCCATGTATGAAGCCATGTCTGTAGCTGAATGGAGGTCACTAGAGGGAAATTAAAGTGCCCCCCCCCCCCCCCCCTGATCTCACAATAAAGACTCCAGCGTTTCATACACATCTAGACAATACACATCGTGACTTGCGGGATTTATCAGAACATTGAAGTTTGACGATCCATCTGAGCTCCGCCCATTATTAAAGAAGAACTAAAGGCAAAGATTTTTTGGGTAGAGTAATGGAGGGTTATAACCCCTGTCGGTTTTATTGCCATCTGTGTCCCATTAGAGGGATTTCCCGTCACTTCCTGTCCCATAGCCAAAACAGAAAGTGAGTGAGGAAATCCCTCCACAATGGGAGAATCCCCGGTTGTCACCCTAACTAGTGTCCCCATTGGAAGATTTTCCCCTCTGGTGACAACCCTATTCTGCTGACAACCCACAATTTGGGATTTTCTTTCACTTTCGGAGATAACGGTGAACAGGACAACTAGAGAGGGTGAATCTCCCTAATGGGGCACAGAACAAAATCTGACGGGTTCTAATCCTTCGTCATTCTATATTCTTCTGCCTTTAGTTACACTTTAAGCTCTTCACGCCGGCCCGAACGCAAATGTGCGGCCACCCATTTGCGTTCTATTAAAAAAGAACATGTGCTAAGAATGCGCCCTGCGTGCTCCCAGCACACATGTCCGGTACCTATGGAAAGGTCCTTTGCCGATCATGTGACAATGTGTCACGGCGGTCACATGATCCTAAGCCCCGCCTCCCGGCTTCACCCTTAAAGGGCCGGGAGGCGCCGGCGTGAAGGGGTTAAAGAAAGACTAGAACACAACTGTGACTCCACCCAGAAGGCCATCCAACATAGCTCAGAGATGGGTGGGTAGGGTGCCAATGAACCAACTAGGAGGCCGATGGTGGACCTAATAGAGCTATAGAGACCGCGAAAGGAGACCAGAGGAACCATCCATGAAGCACCTAAAACTCAGACTCTGCAGAGAGCCGGGAATTATGGGAGATGGAGGAGAAGGAAGCAATTGGTATAAAACGCCCAAATTCCAGAGGAAAGATGGAGAAGGGTTCTCTAATCTGAAGATGACATTTTTAGCCTTGGTGCAGACTGTGTGGAAGCGACAACGCCGATCATCACTTTGAGAACACCATCCCAACTGTGAAGCATGACAGTGGCAGACTTATAGTGTGGGGATGGTTTTTATTGTCAGGATTGAGGTTGAAGAAAGATCAAGCCATATACAGGGATGGTTCAGAATGTGGTGAAGAGACAGTGCTGCTCATCACTTTGAGAACACCATCCCAACTGTGACACTTGGTGGTGGGAGATTCATGGTGTGGGGATAGTTTTCATTGTTAGGATTGAGGGAAAGAAGGGTGGAGGTATATACAAATATGAAAAAAGAGGCGAAACAGTGCAACGCACAGGGATGCCATGCAAAGGAAGTATTCTAATGTTTCGGTCACTATCTCACCAAAACATAGGGTGCGGATCACAGTGCCCAAAATGCACAAAAAATGGGGCTCTCCTCCATATACAGGGCTGGTTCAGTCTTCCATCACCTTCCAGCAGACCAGAGACCCTGAACATAGCCAGAGTACCCTGGAGAACTGGAAAACTAAGAGCCAGAAGGTTTTTGGTGCAGAATTTGGTGGAGAAACGGTGCTTTTCATCAATTTGAGAACACTATCCCTACTGTGAAGCCTGGTGGTGGAAGACTCAGAGTGGGGATGAATTTCACTGTCAAGATTGAGGGAAGAAAGATGAAGATACAGGCCTGATTCAGTCATTGAGTCACCTTCCATCAGGTCAGAGACCCTGAACACAGCCAGAAATGCCATGGAAGGCTATAAAACCCAAAACTGGCAGTTTTTTTTTTTTATTGGAGTGAAGGGATCAAGTCTCTCCAAGGTTGATATTGGTTCCTGTATCCTGGTGAGGAGAATTCCTCAGTTTCAGTCCCCATGATGGGTGTCACCAAGACAGGATGCCCCAAGAAGAGTCAGAGAGGGTGATAAAGGCCTCCAAGGGGTTTTATAGTGACCTCTTCATGGAGGATATCCCGGAATGGACCATCCTGTTTATGGAGGATATCCCACCATCGACTGTTCTGTTTATGGTGGATATTCCTTCGTGGACTGTCCTGTTTATGATGAATAGCAACCCAGGGCTGTCCTGTTTATGATAGCCCCCCATGGGCCGTCCTGTTTATGATAGATAGCCCCCCATGGGCCGTCCTGTTTATGATGGGTATCTCGCCTTGGATCGTCCTGTTTAGGGTGGATAACCCACCATGAACCATCCTGTTTAGGGAGGAGATCTTGCCATGGGCCATATTGTTTATGGTAGATATCTGGCCATGGGTCGTCCTGATTATGTGGATATCCCTCCATAGACTGTCCTTTTTATGATGGATATCCCACCGTGGGCCGTCCTGTTTAGGGTGGATATCCCAGCGTTGACTGTCCTGTTTATGTTGGACATCCCGCCATGGGCCGTCCTGTTTAGGATGGATATCCAGCCGTGGGCCGTCCCGTTTAGGGTGGATATCCCGCCATGGGCCGTCCCGTTTACGGTGGATATCCAGCCGCAAACCGTCCCCTTTATGGTGGATATCCTTCTGTGGGCCGTCCCATTTAGGGTGGATATCCCACCACGGGCTGTCCTGTTTATGATGGGTATCCCACCGCAGGCCGTCTCGTTTATGGTGGATATCCCACCGCAGGCCGTCTCGTTTATGGTGGATATCCCGACGCGGGCCGTCTCGTTTAGGGTGGATATCCCGCCGCGGGCCGTCCCGTTTAGGGTGGATATCCCGCCGCGGGCCGTCCCGTTTAGGGTGGATATCCCGCCGCGGGCCGTCCCGTTTATGGTGGATATCCTTCTGTGGGCCGTCCCATTTAGGGTGGATATCCCGCCGCGGGCCATCCCATTTAGGGTGGATATCCTTCTGTGGGCCATCCTGTTTGGGGTGGATATCCCGCCGCGGGCCGTCCCGTTTATGGTGGATATCCTTCTGTGGGCCGTCCCATTTGGGGTGGATATCCCGCCGCGGGCTGTCCCGTTTAGGGTGGATATCCTTCTGTGGGCCATCCCATTTGGGGTGGATATCCCGCAGCGGGCCGTCCCGTTTAGGGTGGATATCCTTCTGTGGGTCAACCTGTTTAGGGTGGATATCCCACTGCGGGCCGTCCCGTTTAGGGTGGATATCCCACTGCGGGCCGTCCCGTTTAGGGTGGGTAAGTTAGTATTGTGTAGGGTTTGCCATGATGGTAAATGTACGGTGCAGAGCTCAGGGCAGGTAGGAACAGGGGGAGGAGAGAACACCATGATTGGTTTATTGTACTCAGATTCAGGGCAGAAGCCTGAGGATCACCATGACAGCCAAACACACATCATTTTCAACAGTAATACCCCCCTACAGTCAGTCATTCTATAGTGATGGTGGGACCCCCACCTCGTCTATCAACCCCTCACAGAGCTGGACTGACAGGTTCTCCTCACACAGGTCTTGGCCCAGAGGTCTCTACTCCTGGTGAGCAACCCCAGCAGCCAATCAGCTTCACCCTGTCATCCCTTTAGACATGGGAGCTGGACAATGTTTGGTTGCTATGGGAACCAGGTAACAAGCACTGGGCGTTCCCAACTGTATTTCGGCCCCACCCAGCGGGCTCTGTTAGTGGGCGGACTGGAGTAAGAGCCTATGACTAACAGGCGAGGGGCGGGGCTGCTTGGTGCAAGCAAAATACAGGGGAGCGATAGGCTGATAGGCGAGGCTCAGCGTGATGACTGACAAGCATGGAGGGCGGGGCTTTTCGGTGACTGACAGGAAGGATTTGGCAGAGCGAGAGGACTATGGGCGGGTCTCAGCGGTGCGGGGGGCAGGGCTGTGGGCGGGTCTCGCCGTAAGATGGCGGGGTGAGGGGAGAAGATGGCGGTGTGGGGGTCGGAGTTGCTCTCTGAGCTCTGGGCTCAGGTCCTGTCTCTGGGTTCGGAGTTCGGTGACGAATGGGACAGGAATGACCTGAGAGCCGCCATCTTCCGCCTGCTGCTGGCCTGGCTGATCCTCAGTGTCACCGCCATCCACCTGGCCTGGAGAGGCTACGGACCCACCGTGACCGCCTTCTACTACCGGCAGGGTGAGCGGAGACCCCGGGAGATAATGAGAGAGGGTTTCCTGAGATCACATGACACGGGGCGGGGCTTGGTAAAAAGGGGCGTCACCGTCCAGGGGTGCCTTGGCAGTGTGGTGTGTAGATGAGGCCCTGTGTACCCCAAATATATACTCCCTGTACCCCCAAATACTTCCAGGTGTAACTTCCTGTACCCCCAAATGCTTCCAGGTGTAACTTCCTGTACCCCCAAATGCTTCCAGGTGTAACTCCCTGTACCCCCAAATGCTTTCCAGGTGTAACTCCCTGTACCCCCAAATGCTTCCAGGTGTAACTCCCTGTACCCCCAAATGCTTCCAGCTGTACACTCCCTGTACCCCCAAATACTTGGGTGTGTCTATACTCTCTGTACCCCCAAATACTATTTTTTTTATATACTCCTTGTACCCCAAATACCCCCTGTACACACAATACTTCCATATATACTCCCTGTACCCCCAAATACTTCTATTTATACTCAAATACTTGCATATATACTCCCTGTACCCCTATATATACACCCATATGTACCCCAAATAATCCTATATATATACCCCCCCGTGACCCAAAATACCGCCATATAGCCCCCTTTACCCAAAGATATACCCCTGTACTCTGATACCACCATATATATATATATATACCCCAATTCCATATATATCTCCCTGTACCATATATATATCTCCCTGTACTCTCACCCCCATATATACCCCGTGTACCCCTAAATAATTTTATTTATATATATACACACACACCTGTGACCCAAAATACCACCATATAGCCCCTTGTACCCCTAAATATACCTGTACCCCCCAATTTCCATATATTCCCCCATATATACACCCCCCTGTACCCCAAATACTTTGCTATGCCTCAGTATATTGTCCCTTTACCACTGATATACCGTGTACCCCAAAATATCCTGATATACCCCAGTGTACTGTCCTTGTACTCCTGATAAACCCTTATGTATACCCCCCGCACCTCGATATACTTCCAAATACTCCGACCCCAATATACTGTCCCCGTACCACGTATATACATCACTCTATCCCAGTATACCACCCCTGCCCCCCGACATACCCTCTGGTCTCCAATATACCATGATATATACCAATATACCATCCCTGCACCCCTGAGAACCCCCCCCAATACCCTGATATATACCATCCCTGCACCCCTGAGAACCCCCCCCAATACCCTGATATATACCATCCCTGCACCCCTGAGAACCCCCCCAATACCCTGATATATACCATCCCTGCACCCCTGAGAACCCCCCCAATACCCTGATATATACCATCCCTGCACCCCTGAGAACCCCCCCCCCCAATACCCTGATATATTCCAATATACCTTCATTCCAACACTGCACCCTGATACCCTGGGAGATCTCCCCAAACCCCTGAATGTAATAATGCTCCCCAGTAGGCCAGGAGACTCCCAGCCCCCCATGCTGCACTGCACCCTGATAGTCTGGGAGACCCCACCCCCAATTCAACAGTGCACTCTGATAGGTTGGGATACCCCCTCTTCCTCAATCTACCAGTGCACCCCATCAGTCACAGAGACCCCCCCCATCATAACTATCACTTTTTCTCTGGTTTCAGGTCCAGGGGGACAGAATGGCGGTACTCCGGAATACCCCTCCCACGTCAATATCTGGTGAGTAGCTATGCATGATGGGAAAGCTCCAGATACAAGTTTCCACCCACAGCTCTTCTCATCCATTGGGGTGGGGTCATGGGAGGGGCTGCAGTGAGGGTGGGGCCCTGAACACCTTAGGGTCTGTAGGATAGGCAGTGTGGTGCATCTGGAGGGGGGCAGGCCCTGGCAGAAAGACCCCTCCCACTCTTCCATGGCAGTCTGTTCCCATTGGGGCCATACCGGGTGTACAGCGCTCTAGTGGCGCCACCAGAAGTCTCAGTGTGGTGAGGAGGTTCCTCAGGGGACGCCATGAGTGCCAGAGTCGGGGGGATGGGATTACCAGAATAAAGCCCCGCCCTTCCCTTACAGGTCAGCCATGAGAGAAGACTCGGGAGGGTATGACCCCCAGACCTACTCCACCCCAGACTAGTCCATTATGGGTGGAGCCAATAGTGGGAACACTGGGTCTTGCTTGGCACCATGTGAGGTTCCTCAAGGGTGTGCCTTCATGGCAATGTGTGCAGAAGAGGGGAAGGGACTTGCTAGATAAAACCGTTTTTTTTCAGCTTATCCTGCACAGGCAGACTAAGGACAACTGACAAAGGTGTGGCCCATTCAGTGGGTGTCTCTGGGGCCCCTTATTTGGCATTAGGAGGGGGGAATAGATATTCACAGCACTGTCCCTAGAAACTATAGCGAGTTCTCAGTCCTTTCTGCTTTGCCCCACCCCTTAAGCAGAATTGAAAGTCATATGGGGGCGGGGCTAATCCTGTGTTGCGCACAGTCCCGGCGCTCACCTGCATTTGTGGCACGTCATCGCGCTGACAAACATCGGTGTTTTGTTTCCAGTACTGGCCAATCACAAAATGACTGCGAGGTGTTTCTTCCGCAGGGAAAGCTCCAGCACGGAATCCCTGAAGAGCCACCAGGAGTGACATGAGGTCGAGTGTTGGGCACCCCCTCCGCTGGGTGTGACCCTCAGCAACGGATATGGCTGACGCTGAGCCGCGTCCTTTTCCCGGTTTTCTTCCATCCTAATTGCTGCACGGGAAGACGGGACTGAACACGGCGCCATAATGGCTTCCTGGCTGCGTCTTGTGAGATATATCGCCTTAGCTATAGATGCGTATGGAGCTCCATGTTGACATTGCTTTATGGACAGTCATCTTCATCCTGCAGAATGTATACAGAGATGGGTGCTCCTGAGTGGGGGCGTGACCGCGTGTATTTTCCTTGGCGTGATGGATTAGTCTTTGATCTGCAGGTTGGCTCATTATACCGTGGTTGGTGTGTGCGCTCCAAGGGAGCGATGTGACTAGGGAACCACCATGGCTCCCGCCTTTGAGAGTGGCCACCATGGCTCTTGCCTTTCGGAGGTGGGGCGCCATGGCTCTTGCCTTTCGGAGGTGGGGCGCCATGGCTCTTGCCTTTCGGAGGTGGGGCGCCATGGCTCTTGCCTTTCGGAGGTGGGGCGCCATGGCTCTTGCCTTCAAGGGAAGGAGGGGCCAACATGACTTCCGTCCTCAAGGGGGACTACCATGACTCTCGCCTTCATGTTGAGGAGGGGGCCACCATGACTTCTGGCCTCAAGGGGGACTACTATGACTCTCTCGCCTTCACGTTGAGGAGGGGGCTACCATGACTTCTGCCTTCAAGGGGGACCACTATGACTCCTCCCTGGTGCTGCGCGGGAGGAGGAGCTCGGCCTCGATTATCTCACGATGGACTCTGCTACAGCGGAATGATTGCTAGACAGACATGGAATGTATATCACCGACTGACCGCATATGATGACCCCGTCATCTCCTCTCTGCCTTATCGCCTGGCTCCTCCAGGAACATCATGGATTGTATGAGATTGGTGACCACTTAGAGTTCTGCAGACTGGCCAGGTCTATTCTGTCACTTCTAGCAACCCTGAGAAGGAAGGAATTCTGGGTACGGGAGGTGCAATCTGTGCCCCCAGCCTAGCAGAGTAAAGATATGGGAGCTGCTTGTTCTTGGTGCGTACTTCAGGGTTGTCATCTTCATCCTTCACTGATGGGTGGGTGGACAACTGATGGGTCCATATGGATCCCGGGTCAATAAATTACTAACTAGCAAAGCAGAATCGTACAGCTAACCCCTTGTGCTAGAACACGGGTGTCAAACTGGCGGCCCTCCAGCTGTTGCCAAACTACAAGTCCCATGAGGCATTGCAAGATGGACAGTTCCAAGCATGACTCCCAAAGGCAGAGGCATGATGGGACTTGTAGTTTCCACCAGTTTGACACCCCTGTGCTAGGGGAACATTGGTCTCCCATCGGACAGATAGCAGCCAATGCTGTGCACAACCACTATATATCAGTCTGGGTCCATCAGTAAGGCTCAGGAGCCAATCGGAACTGTTCTCAATCATGTGATCACTACGTCCTGCGTGAAATGCTGGTCACACTCAGGCTGAAGCTTCAGTCTTTAACCCCTCACCCTCCAGAGGATTCCCCCCCCCCCCCCTCCTTCCTGACCAGGCCATTTGTTGCAATACGGCGCCGCGTTACTTTTACTGACAATTGCACGGTCATGCAACGCTGTACATAAATGAATGTCCCTTTCCCCCCCCCCCCCCCCCCCCCCCCCCCCCCCCTCAAAAAAATAGAGCTTTCTTTTGGTGGTATTTGATCACCTGTGCAAATTTTTTTTTTTTTTTTTTTTTTTTTTTGCTATAAACAAAGACCGACAACTTTGAAAATAAAAAATTTTTTTTTTGACTATTTGCTATAAAACCTATTCAGTAAAAAATCTAATTTCTTCATCCGCTTTGGCCAAAATGTATTCTGCGACACGTCTCTGCTAATAAAATCCCAATACGTGTAAATTCAATTATTTTGTATGAAAATTATAGCGTTTACAAATGGCGGTATAGATACTGGAATTTTTAATTTAATTTTTTTTTTTTATTAATATTGTTGTTATTTTTTAATTTATTTTTCTTTTTAGTAATGGTGGCGATCAGTGACTTGCGGCGGGCATTCTGACACTGGGTGGGAACTTACTAACTGCCACTGACACCCCAGTGACACCAATACAGTAATCATTAAACATGTCCAGTGAAAAAAATCAAACTTCATCAGAAAGTTCGGCCACAATGTATTCTGCTCCGTGTCTTTGCTAAAAAAAATAAAAAAAAAAAAATCCCAATACGTGTAAATTAATCGGTTTACGTGAAAATTATAGCGTCTACTAATGGTGGTATAGATACTGGAATTTTTAATTAAAAATTTTTTTTTTTTTTTAAGTAATGGCGGTGATCAGCTACTTACAGCGGCAGTGCAGCGGGCATTCTGACACTGGGTGGGAACTTACTAACTGCCACTGACACCCCAGTGACACCAATACAGTGATCATTAAACCTGTCCAGTAAAAAATTTTTTTCAAAAATCACATTTCATCATAAATTTAGGCCAAAATGTGTTCTGCTCCGTGTCTTCGCTTCTAAGAAAAGAAAAAAAAAAAAAATCCCAGTACGTGTAAATTGATTTACATGAAAGTTATAGTGTCTACAAATGGCGGGATTTTTATTTTTTTCTAGTAATGGCGGCGATCAGCGATTTTTAGCGGGACTGCGGCGGACATTCTGACACTGGGCGGGAACTGACTAACTGCCACTGACATCCCCAGTGACACCAATACAGTGATCATTAAACAAGTCCAGTAAACAAAAGACCGACAATTTAAAAAAATATATATATTTTTGACTTTTTGCTATAAAACATATTCAATAAAAAAAAATGTAAAAAATAAAATTTCTTCAATTTTGGCCAAAATGTATTCTGCTCGGTGTCTCCTCTAATAAATAAAATCCCAATACGTGTAAATTAATTGTTTTATGCGAAAGTTATAGCGTCTACAAATGGCGGTATAGATACTGGAATTTTATTTATTTATTTTTTTTCTTTTGTAGTGGCGGCGATCGGTGACTTACTGTGGCGGGCATTCTGACACTGTGTGGGAACTGACTGACACCCCAGTGACACCAATACAGTGATCATTAAACAAGTCCAGTAAACAAAAGACCGACAATTTTAAAAAAAATATATATTTTTGACTTTTTGCTATAAAACATATTCAATAAAAAAAAAAATGTAAAAAATAAAATTTCTTCAATTTTGGCCAAAATGTATTCTGCTCGGTGTCTCCTCTAATAAATAAAATCCCAATACGTGTAAATTAATTGTTTTATGCGAAAGTTTATAGCGTCTACAAATGGCGGTATAGATACTGGAATTTTATTTTTTTATTTTTTTTTTTCTTTTGTAGTGGCGGCGATCGGTGACTTACTGTGGCGGGCATTCTGACACTGTGTGGGAACTGACTGACACCCCAGTGACACCAATACATTGATCATTTAAACATGTCCAGTAAAAAAAATCAAATTTCATCATAAATTTTGGTCAAAATGTATTCTGCTCCGTGTCTTTGCTAAAAAAAAAAAAAAAAAAAATCCTAATACGTGTAAATTAATCGGTTTACGTAAAAATTATAGCATCTACAAATGGCGGTATAGATACTGGGATTTTTTTTTTTTCTTCTAGTAATGGCGGCGATCAGTGACTTTCAGCGGGACTGCGGCGGACATTCTGACACTGGGAGGGGACTGACTGTCACTGTCATCCCCAGTGACACCAATAAAGTGATCAATAAACATGTCCAGTAAACAAAAAGACTTGACAATTTTGAAAAAAAAAAAATATATTTTTTTTGACTTTTTGCTATAAAACATATTCGGTAAAAAAAATGTAAAAAATAAAATTTCTTGATCAGTTTAGCCCAAAATGTATTCTGCTCCGTGTCTCTGCTAATCAATAAAATCCCAATATGTGTAAATTAATTGTTTTATGCGAAAGTTATGGCGGTATAGATACAAAAATTTTTAATGTAAATTTTTTTTTTTTTTTTTTAGTAATGGCGGCGATCAGCGACTTACAGCAGCGGACATTCTGACACTGGGTGGGAACTGACTAACTGCCACTGACACCCCAGTGACACCAATACAGTGATCATTAAACATGTCCAGTAAAAAAAAATTATTAAATTTCATCATAAATTTAGGGCAAAATGTGGTGTTCTCCGCGTCGTTGCTAAAAAAAAAAAAAAAATTCCCAATACATGTAAATTAATCGGTTTACGTGAAAATTATAGCGTCTACAAATGGCGGTATAGATACTGGAATTTTTTTTTTTTTTCTTCTAGTAATGGCGGCGATCAGCGGCTTACAGCGGGACCGCGGCGGACATTCTGACACTGGGAGGAACTAATTTGGTGTCACTGACATCCCCAGTACTTTTAGCGGGACTGCGGCGGACATTCTGACACTGGACGGGAACTGACTTGGTGTCACTGACTTCCCCAGTACTTAGGGGGACTGCGGCGGACATTCTGACACCAATGCAGCAATCATTGCTGATAAAAAGCACTGACACTGTACTAATGGCACTGGGCAGGAAGGGGTTAACATGAAAACCGATTAAAGGGTTAACTACAGGAAGTATTTTACTAGGGGGGGGGGGTCTGTGTGCTTCACTGTAAGCACACTGATCAGGATGGCTGTGCTGTGCAGCGTGTCCCAGCTGACAGGGAGGAAGGCGGTTCTCCTCCCCCTCGGAGATTCACTAGGCGGGGCCCAGCGATTGATGGCCACACAGGGCGGCGTGGGTTGGGTATGCGCGGCTCGTGCGCCCCCTACCCAGGAAACGCAGAGTTGCGTATATATACAAGTGATTTTGCGCACCCGTGCCACCTTGTAGCAGTATTTCTGCTATAGGTCGGTTAACGGGTAATTGCGCGGTCATGCAACGCCGCACCCAAATTAAATTTGTATACTTTTTTCACACAAATAGAGATTTTTTTTGGGGGGGGGGTGTATTAGATCAGTGGAGATCCATCTAATGGGGGGGGGGGATGGGATGAGTTCTCAGCAGATTATTTAGAATTGCGCCATTGGTCCTGGGAATGGCTGTGCTGCGGTCAGACGAGGTCAGACAAGTCAGCTCCCTTATTTCTATTCTGATGGGTTCACTTCTAGAAAAATGACGTTATAAATAAAAGGACAACATCAACCGATTTGCCATTTTCCTGGTTCCAAATATTTGATTTTTTTTTTTTTTCTGTAAATGTCAGATTTCTGGTCATGGGGTGCGATTGACTCGCTGCGCTCTTCTCTGCAGCCTGCGCAGAGCTTGAGATCACGTTCCAAGCAGCCTGTCACATGGCTTGTGGCATCCCCTGCAGTGTGCTTAGGTGGACTGTACTGGTGCTTCGAGGGCTGAATGACACCGGGCTGTATAACTCTTTGTGCGCAGTGACCCCCTTCAGTAAAGCTGAGGGAGGGGATACCCAGCTGAGGGAGGGGACACCCAGCTGAGGGAGGGGTTTAGAGTTCAGATGTCTGAGAGAAAAAGAAAACAAACTAATTTTGCACTTCTGCCAAGGTGGATTATTTCTCATTACAAGGCTGGCACTGATCCATGCGATTGTAATAAAGGCGGGGCTTCCAAACGGCCACTCCCACTGATCGCTTTCAACAGGTTCATTGAGTGTCTACAGAGCTGAAGCAGGTGATAAATTATTACTTTGGTATTATATATATATCCAGCATCATGGGTGTTGTCAGACCTAAAGTAAGTAATAGGTCTGTAAACATCCTTCTGATATGTAGAAGGTGGGCAGGGGATCTACAGAACAGAAGCAGGTAATAAAGTTTGTATCAACCTCCCTGTTCATACAAGATGTCCAGGGTATCTACAGGCCTGAAGCTGGTGAGAACTGTAGCATCTGTCCTATATACTGTATAGGGGGTATCTACAGGCCTGAAGCTGGTGAGAACTGTAGCATCTGTCCTATATACTGTATAGGGGGTATCTACAGGCCTGAAGCTGGTGAGAACTGTAGCATCTGTCCTATATACTGTATAGGGGGTATCTACAGGCCTGAAGCAGGTGAGAACTGTAACATCTGACCTATATACTGTATAGGGGGTATCTACAGGCCTGAAGCAGGTGAGAACTGTAGCATCTGTCCTATATACTGTATAGGGGGAATCTACAGGCCTGAAGCAGGTGAGAACTGTAACATCTGACCTATATAGTGTATAGGGGGAATCTACAGGCCTGAAGCAGGTAATAACTGTGACATCTGACCTGTATAGGGGGAATCTACAGGCCTGAAGCAGGTAATAACTGTGACATCTGACCTGTATAGGGGGAATCTACAGGCCTGAAGCAGGTAATAACTGTGACATCCTTACTATATCTAGAAGGTGTGCAGGGGATCTACAGAACAGAAGCAGGTAATAAAGTGTGTAACAACCTCCCTGTTCATACAAGATGTCCAGGGTATCTACAGGCCTGAAGCAGGTAATATCTGTCCTATATCATATAAACAAACTATCACCTGCTTCAGGCCTGGAGATACATTGTATACACTATACAGGAAAGATATCATAGTTAGCACCTGCTTCAGGCCTGTAGATACCCTGGACATCTTGTATGAACACGGAGGTTGTTACACACTTTATTACCTGCTTCTGTTCTGTAGATACCTTCTATACACTATATAGGATGGATGTCACTGTTCTCTCCTGCTTCAGACTTGTAGATAACTATGAAATCTATCCTATATAGTATAAACAAGCTGTCATAGTTATCTACAAGTCTAAAGCAGGTGAGAACGTTGACATCTTTCCTATACGAGGTATCTCCAGGCCTGAAGCGGGTGAGAACTGTGCCCTCTTCCCTATACGAGGTATCTCCAGGCCTGAAGCGGGTGAGAACTGTGCCCTCTTCCCTATACGAGGTTTCGCCAGGCCTGAAGCGGGTGAGAACTGTGCCCTCTTCCCTATACGAGGTATCGCCAGGCCTGAAGCGGGTGAGAAACTGTGCCCTTTTCCCTATACGAGGTATCCCCAGGCCTGAAGCGGGTGAGAACTGTGCCCTCTTCCCGATACGAGGTATCGCCAGGCCTGAAGCGGGTGAGAACTGTGCCCTCTTCCCGATACGAGGTATCGCCAGGCCTGAAGCGGGTGAGAACTGTGCCCTCTTCCCGATACGAGGTATCGCCAGGCCTGAAGCGGGTGAGAACTGTGCCCTCTTCCCGATACGAGGTATCGCCAGGCCTGAAGCGGGTGAGAACTGTGCCCTCTTCCCGATACGTGGTATCGCCAGGCCTGGAGCGGGTGAGAACTGTGCCCTCTTCCCTATACGAGGTATCGCCAGGCCTGAAGCGGGTGAGAACTGTGCCCTCTTCCCGATACGAGGTATCGCCAGGCCTGAAGCGGGTGAGAACTGTGCCCTCTTCCCTATACGAGGTATCGCCAGGCCTGAAGCGGGTGAGAACTGTGCCCTCTTCCCTATACGAGGTATCGCCAGGCCTGAAGCGGGTGAGAACTGTGCCCTCTTCCCTATACGAGGTATCGCCAGGCCTGAAGCGGGTGAGAACTGTGCCCTCTTCCCTATACGAGGTATCGCCAGGCCTGAAGCGGGTGAGAACTGTGCCCTCTTCCCTATACGAGGTATCCCCAGGCCTGAAGCGGGTGAGAACTGTGCCCTCTTCCCTATACGAGGTATCTCCAGGCCTGAAGCGGGTGAGAACTGTGCCCTCTTCCCTATACGAGGTTTCGCCAGGCCTGAAGCGGGTGAGAACTGTGCCCTCTTCCCTATACGAGGTATCGCCAGGCCTGAAGCGGGTGAGAACTGTGCCCTTTTCCCTATACGAGGTATCCCCAGGCCTGAAGCGGGTGAGAACTGTGCCCTCTTCCCGATACGAGGTATCGCCAGGCCTGAAGCGGGTGAGAACTGTGCCCTCTTCCCGATACGAGGTATCGCCAGGCCTGAAGCGGGTGAGAACTGTGCCCTCTTCCCGATACGAGGTATCGCCAGGCCTGAAGCGGGTGAGAACTGTGCCCTCTTCCCGATACGAGGTATCGCCAGGCCTGAAGCGGGTGAGAACTGTGCCCTCTTCCCGATACGAGGTATCGCCAGGCCTGAAGCGGGTGAGAACTGTGCCCTCTTCCCGATACGAGGTATCGCCAGGCCTGAAGCGGGTGAGAACTGTGCCCTCTTCCCGATACGAGGTATCGCCAGGCCTGAAGCGGGTGAGAACTGTGCCCTCTTCCCTATACGAGGTATCGCCAGGCCTGAAGCGGGTGAGAACTGTGCCCTCTTCCCTATACGAGGTATCGCCAGGCCTGAAGCGGGTGAGAACTGTGCCCTCTTCCCGATACGAGGTATTGCCAGGCCTGAAGCGGGTGACAAGTCTGCACCGTCCTCCCTAGACATAGCCCCGCCCTGGAGGGGATTGTAGATTCTGCTGCCATGATGTGATTACTGCTGAGAAATAAAGGAATGTACAGGATGGAGTTTGTTTCATTTTTGAATAATCACATCAGCACTGTATTGGGGTAATCATGGAGGATGACATCGATGGCACTCTGGGGAAATGCCAGTCGCCTGGCTCCATGTATAGAATATGAACTGTCAGGTTTGTTAGTTTTGGGTCAGCGATTGAAGCCTGAGGATCAGCTTGAGAGCCGGGAATTTCCTGATTCAGCCGCCGGGTGGGAGATTCCCTAATAGTAAACAAAGGGGCGGGGACGCTGGTGACATCATTGTCCAAATATGGTCATTATACAGAAGGATGACAGGCACAATCCCTGCAGCTGTCCATCACAAGGAAGGCGGGCCCTGTGATTGACAGGAGGCTGGCAACCAATGAAGTAAACGCATTCATAAAAATAACCCCTCCCTGCCTGCCACGCCCCATTTACTTAAGGCTGACAGGATGGATTTCTTGATCACATGACCACTGTGGTTGTCGCATTGTTTTTTTTGTGGGGGCGGGGCTAGGGTAGAGCTTGTCTCGGTCATGTCGCTGACAGCTTGGTCACTACGCTTCTAAGGGTGTGTTGGCGTTAAAATGTACTTTTCATCGCCAGACTGCGTGACAACCAATCAGCTTCTGTCTTTCATCTTTAAAGCTTAGTTGAACTAGTGAAAGCTAAAAGCTGATTGGTTGCCACGCGGAGCTGCTCAGTTTTGCCAATGGCTTTTGTGAATTTGGCGCAGGATATTTTGGAGGAACCATATCGCCAGAAAGAGGTCACAAATCCTTGACTGAAAATTCAACGGTTATCCAACCCAGCACTTTGCTGAGTCCACCTATGCAGATTGTTCTACAGGGTCTCAGATTAGTCCAAAGAAATCAAAAAAGTTTGACCAAAAAAAAATGTATATTTTTCTTTGACCAAAAAATATTTATATATTTTTTATTTGACCAAAAAATATATATATATTTTTTATTTGACCAAAAAATATATTTTTTTTTTATTGACCAAAAAATATATATATATATTTTTTATTGACCAAAAAATATATATATTTTTTTTTATTGACCAAAAAATATATATATATTTTTTTATTTGACCAAAAAATATATATATATTTTTTTTATTTGACCAAAAAATATATATATATATTTTTTTATTTGACCAAAAAATATATATTTTTTTTTTTATTTGACCAAAAAATATATATATTTTTTTTTATTTGACCAAAAAAATATATATATTTTTTATTTGACCAAAAAAATATATATATTTTTTATTTGACCAAAAAAAAAAAAAAATATATTTTTTATTTGACCAAAAAAAAAAATATATTTTTTATTTGACCAAAAAAAAAAAAATATATTTTTTTTATTTGACCAAAAAAAAAAATATATTTTTTATTTGACCAAAAAAAAAAATATATTTTTTATTTGACCAAAAAAATATATATATTTTTTTATTTGACCAAAAAAATATATATATTTTTTATTTGACCAAAAAAATATATTTTTTTTTTTATTTGACCAAAAAATATATTTATATTTTTTTTTTATTTGACCAAAAAATATATTTTTTTTTTATTTGACCAAAAAATATATTTTTTTTTTATTTGACCAAAAAATATTTTTTTTTTTTTATTTGACCAAAAAATATATATATTTTTTATTTGACCAAAAAATATATATATTTTTTATTTGACCAAAAAATATATATATTTTTTTATTTGTCCAAAAAATATACATATGTTTTTTTCTTGACCAAAAAAAAAATTTAATGCTGAAAATCGCAAACGTGAACACAAAAACGCTAAACAAAAAAACAAAACACGTTTTTAACGTGACTTTACAAAGCTAACATTACCACCATTATTAACCCCCCCCCCCCCAGTGTCCATGGAGCCTTACAACATGAAGTCTCCCTCCCAAGGATACAGGCAATGAATGAACCAATCAGATCATCCAATCCTTTCCATCAGGATTGGTAGTAAACCCCTGTAGCTCCTCATCCTGTGTGGTTGGGATATAAACATCAAGGAGATCAGACGACATTCTCATCTTTATTCGGCTACAAAATAACATCTACAATTAGAAAAGAGCAGCAATTAGTCTGTAATCAGTAAGAGATTCCCAGATCCCAGGACAGAGAACGCAGGAAGTGAGGACACCCTGTGTGACCAGGAAATCCTTCCCTCCAGATCTGGTCCCCCAGGGGATGCTGGTGATGCCGTGCCCATAGTGTGAGGTAGTTGTGACCAATCATCTGGCGGCGGGTTCATTGGGGTAGGTTATTAAAGGGCGGTAAACAGAAACACCATCCGCATCATAAAATGGTCATTTTGCCTCCAATGGCAGCTCAGACTACAGAGCTCCACCATTGTTGGACATCCTATTTTCTGGGTAGTTGCGGATGGAAATCCATCACCTAATGTCAGGTTTGTTTCACATTTTAGGTGGTTCAAAAGCCTTAAAGAGTCACTAAACCCCCAACCAGGGGCAGACTGACAACTCATGGGGCCCCTGGGCAATAGGGGATCATTGGGCCCCTGTGTCCTTGCCCAAGCTCAAAAAAGCCTATGAAAAAGGTACCAGTGGCATCCCATGGGGCCCCCCTACTGACCCCGGGCCGTCAGGCAGTGCCCAAGTTTCCAAATGGTCAGTCCGCCCCTGCCCCCAACAGTACAATCAGTCTGTAGATGCAGTAAAGCTTGCTTGTTCTACTCACTGTGGGACCTAAGGGGTTAATCCCCTGCATTGTGTAAAAATGCGGTTTGATCCTGACTTCTCTGATCCTCCCCTTCTTCCCCTGTCCCCAACTTATCTCCTGATAAGACATATTGTGTGGAGTCCCTCTGCACATGCGCAGTTTGGTGTGTGTTGCTAGAGTGTTTTTTTTTTCTTGGGAGAGTACATGTGATCAGCACAGGGCCAATCAGCGCTGTTCAGACAGCGGGCAGGGGTCCTGCATCCTCCTAGAGCACGGGTGTCAAACTGGCGGCCCTCCAGCTGTTGCCAAACTAAAAGTCCCATGAGGCATTGCAAGCTTGACAGACACAAGCATGACTCCCAAAGGCAGAGGCGTGATGGGACTTGTAGTTTCGCAGCAGGTGGAGGGCCACCAGTTTGACACCCCTGTCCTAGAGCAAAATGAAAACTCCTACATGCTGTAACCAGTGCTCTGCTGGACACTGATAGAAGTCACAAGACTGCTATATACTGCTGATGAGAAAAGGGATTTAGCAGTTTATATTTACTAAAATAATTGCATTTCCATGGGTAGGAGTAACCATTTCTAGGTATGGGAGGTACGTTGGGTAGAAGTAACCATGGCTAGGTATGGGAGGCACAGTTGGGTAGGAGTAACCATTTCTAGGTATGGGAGGCACAGTTGGGTAGGAGTAACCATGGCTAGGTAAGGGAGGCACAGTTGGGTAGGAGTAACCATGGCTGGGTATGGGGGGCACAGTTGGGTAGGAGTAACCATGGCTGGGTATGGGAGGCACAGTTGGGTAGGAGTAACCATGGCTAGGTATGGGGGGCACAGTTGGGTAGAAGTAACCATGGCTGGGTATGGGAGGCACAGTTGGGTAGGAGTAACCATGGCTAGGTATGGGAGGCACAGTTGGGTAGGAGTAACCATGGCTAGGTATGGGAGGCACAGTTCGGTAGAAGTAACCATGGCTAGGTATGGGAGGCACAGTTGGGTAGGAGTAACCATGGCTGGTATGGGAGGCACAGCTGGGTAGGAGTAACCATGGCTAGGTATGGGAGGCACAGTTGGGTAGGAGTAACCATGGCTGGGTATGGGGCACAGTTGGGTAGGAGTAACCATGGCTAGGTATGGGAGGCACAGTTGGGTAGGAGTAACCATGGCTAGGTATGGGAGGCACAGTTCGGTAGAAGTAACCATGGCTAGGTATGGGAGGCACAGTTGGGTAGGAGTAACCATGGCTGGGTATGGGAGGCACAGTTGGGTAGGAGTAACCATGGCTAGGTATGGGAGGCACAGTTGGGTAGGAGTAACCATGGCTGGGTATGGGAGGCACAGTTGGGTAGGAGTAACCATGGCTGGGTATGGGAGGCACAGTTGGGTAGGAGTAACCATGGCTGGGTATGGGAGGCACAGTTGGGTAGGAGTAACCATGGCTAGGTATGGGAGGCACAGTTGGGTAGAAGTAACCATGGATAGGGAGCTATTGGCTCTTGCTGCTGTCAATCAACTGCTGTGCAGAGCGAGCAGGGGGCGGGGCCGTGCCGCCTGCTCTGTGTCAGGGCGGTTCTGGAGCGAGCATGCACGGTTGTCCCTATAGAAAGCGGCTAAAGAGGAGGAGCCTGGACGCCAGCAGGGAACCCAAGAAGAGGATCTAGGCTGCTCTGTGCAAAACCGCCACACAGAGCAGGTAAGTATACACAGCCGCGTCATTCATTCAGAGTTCTGTGAATGAATGAACTACAACTCCCAACAGCCTTTGCGGCTGTTGGCTTGCATTTCTCAATAAACGACCACGGTGCTGTTGATATTGTGGTTGTTCATTGAGTCTTCCGGTCAGATTGGATCTGCCTGCCTGTATGGGATGTACACGGACAGGTCTGCAGGAGTCCTGCATGGCACTAGTGATATGCTGATAGCTGCTGCAATGCTTTCCAGGCTCAAAAAAAAAAAAAAAAGTAAATGCAAATTTTTTTTTTACCTGCCAAAAATTTTTTTTTTCTTTTTTTTTTTAAAGTGAACTTATGCTTCAAGCTGGCTATACATTATACAATTTTCTTATTCAATTTCCTTTAGATCTGCCTTCAACTGTGTAGTGCAAGGGCCCGCCTGTCTGCATACAAATTGAAATTGTTTAGGTTTACCAAATACCATATAATACGAGGTCAAACCTAATGAAAAATTGTACGAGAAAAGAAATGTATGGCCGGCCCTACTGGCCCTTTAACCCCTAATCTTCCACGCGGCTCTGTGCTGAGGCTGGGAGTCCAGTAGTGTCACCACTGTTAATATACAATATATCTACCGCAGTATAAAAATACAGAAAACATGACATTTATTAGTAACAAAATGCTATGTTAGGGAGAGTTCGATGTTTGGGGCAGTTTAGGGATTGGGGGGGTGAGAAGTTTTTGGCACATGGACAATACTTCCTGAGAAGTGGCAATCCCTGAGCTGGGGACACTAGAAAATGTATTGCTTTCAGGATTGTGTGTTTCAGTAGGATAGAGGAGGACAAGGCACAGTTGGGTATGGGGGGGCATGGCTGGGTACTGAAAGCATGGCTGGTTATGGGAGGCAAGGCTGAGCATGGGAGTCGTGGCTGGGTACAGAAGGCAAAGCTGGGCATGGGGGGGCATTGCTGGGTACTGAAAGCATAGCTGATTATGGGAGGCGTGGCTGGGTACAGAAGGCAAAGCTGGGCATGGGGGGGCATTGCTGGGTACTGAAAGCATAGCTGATTATGGGAGGCAAGGCTGAGGACAGAAGCCACAGCTGGGTATGGGGGGGCATGGCCAGGTACTGAAAGCATAGCTGGGTACAGAGGCTGCAGCTGGGTAGGGGGGGCATGGCTGGTTACTGAGAGCATAGATTATGGGAGGCAAGACTGGGTTTGGCATAAACGACTAGGGAAGGGAACAAGGCTTGCACAACCACGTTCAGAAAGCATGGCCGAGTATGGGAGGCGCAACTGGGTACAGCAAGCACAGCCAGTAATGGGAAGCATAGTTGGGTATAGGAGACATGGCTGGGTGCAGAAGCTATGGCTGGGTATGGGAGGCACAACTAGGTAGAGGAACCATGGCGCGGTATGGGAGACACAGCTGAGTAGAGAAACCATGGCTGGGTATTGGTGGTACAGCTGGGTAGAGGAACCATGGCTAGGTATGAGAGGCACAACTGAGAACAGAATTATTGAATGGGTAAGATAACTATGACTGGGTATGGGAGGCACAGCTGTGTAGAGGAACCATAGCGGGGTATTTGGAGGCACAGTTGGGTAGAGGAACCATGGCTGGGTGGGAGAAACCATGGCTAGGTATGGGAGTCACAGCTGGGTAACAGAACCATGGCTGGGTATTGGAGGTACAGCTGAGAACAAAATTATTGAATGGGTAGGGTAACCATGGCTAGGTATGGGAGGCACAGTTGGGTAGGAGTAACCATGGCTGGGTATGGGAGGCACAGCTGGGTAGGGTAACCATGGCTGGGTATTGGAGGCACAGTTGGGTAGGAGTAACCATGGCTAGGTATGGGAGGCACAGTTGGGTAGGAGTAACCATGGCTAGGTATGGGAGGCACAGTCGAGTACAGAAGGAATGACTGGGCACAGAAACCATGGCTGGGTATGGGAGGTACAGTTGGGTAGGAGTAACCATGGATAGGTATGGGAGGTACAGTTGGGTAGGAGTAACCATGGCTAGGTATAGGGGGCACAGTTGGGTAGGAGTAACCATGGCTAGGTATGGGAGGCACAGTTGGGTAGGAGTAACCATGGCTAGGTATGGGAGGCACAGTTGGGTAGGAGTAACCATGGCTAGGTAAGGGAGGCACAGTTGGGTAGGAGTAACCATGGCTAGGTAAGGGAGGCACAGTTGGGTAGGAGTAACCATGGCTAGGTAAGGGAGTCACAGTTGGGTAGGAGTAACCATGGCTGGGTATGGGCGGCACAGTTGGGTAGGAGTAACCATGGCTGGGTATGGGAGGCACAGTTGGGTAGGAGTAACCATGGCTGGGTATGGGAGGCACAGTTGGGTAGGAGTAACCATGGTTGGGTATGGGAGGCACAGTTGGGTAGGAGTAACCATGGCTAGGTATGGGAGGCACAGTTGGGTAGGAGTAACCATGGCTGGGTATGGGAGGCACAGTTGGGTAGGAATAACCATGGCTGGGTATGGGAGGCACAGTTGGGTAGGAGTAACCATGGCTGGGTATGGGAGGCACAGTTGGGTAGGAGTAACCATGGCTGGGTATGGGAGGCACAGTTTGGTAGGAGTAACCATGGCTTGGTATGGGAGGCACAGTTGGGTAGGAGTAACCATGGCTGGGTATGGGAGGCACAGCCGAGTACAGAGACCATGGCTAGGTGCAGAAGATGGGTAGTGACACAAAGGCTTAGCTAGAGCAGCGTCTTTTCATTTTCCACCAATGTACAGCAGAAAGATCAGTGAAAGATGAGTTTTGATTGGCTGCTCTTTGACTTGACATAAGCCCAACAATCCGGCAGCACCGACATTTTGTGGGTTGGTTGACTTTCACTTCACATTGTAGTATTTGGTTGGCACGAAGGGCATTTTGCTGGTCACACCATCAACAAGCTTCTTCCGGACTTCCAACCGCAGCGCCGTGCCTGCCTTGGCATATTCTGGCTCCACGTAACCCATCGCCACATTCAGCTTCAAGGAGGGGGAAGGGCAACCGCTGGTCACTTCTCCTGTGGAAAGGAGAGGATTGTGACAAGTCAGCACTCTAGTGGCTGATGGAAAGTCTTTATGTTTTTAATGGCAAATTCACTTTTAACTTTTCGATTTCACACCACCACACCTGACATCCTGGAAAGCCCCACACCTTAAAGAGGACCTGTCACTTTAAATACCTAATACAAAGAGAAGGTTTGTTGAATGGAGAAGGGCACTTCGCTGGGACAGGTGATGTCCTACTATGGACACCAAACATTAGAATCTCAGCTGCTGGTTGGGACAAATGTATCTATTGATATCACCGGATCCAGAAAAAAAGCTCTTCATTGCATGATCACATAGAAAGTCAACGCTTCAGTACCATACAGGACCCTTTATGGTGACTGATGAAGGGTCTCTGAGGAACCCCGAAACGTGATCATTCAATAAAGAAGAACTTTGAAGCAAACTTATTGGAGTGCTGGTGACATCTCATCCATAATGTAAACTGCAGGCCCACGACAAGGGGTGTGTAAGGGGGGGGCAGGTTGTGGTACCAGTGCTCCTCCCCTCGATCCAGCATTAGATCCGGAGGAGGAGTTCCTTCAATCAGGAGTCAGATGAACAGAATATACCACTGCTGGAAGCTAAGGGCATCATTGGTGAGGTCTCCTGGTTGCAACACCTCCTTGCAGTAATTCCACCCCCCTCCTAGTCACAGGACTCCCTGCTCCGTTAAATCCCCCCCATACCACCTCCCCTTCACTCCTCCAGGCACAGTAGCCCCCCCACCCACCTCCCTCTCTGCCCACTACCTTACCTTCCAGATCACCCCCTGCCAACTCAAACCCCTCCCCCTCATTTCACGTCCATAACTCCCTTCTAGCCACTGTTTACCCCCCTCCAGAACTCCTACCCAACACACCCCCATCCGATTCACTTACACTGCCTACAATGCACCCCCCCCCCCAGGTCCCAGTATCTGACTTCCACCTCAAACACCCCCCTTTCTTGAAAATCTACACCCCCCCCCCCCCCCCCCCCCTCCCCCCCTCCCCCAAATTTTGGCTTTTTTTTTACCCTGGGCACTGGATGACCTTGTCCTGGTATTGTCAGTCTGGAGACATCCTTACCTTATGGTTAATTCCAGCATGGTGAGCAAATGAATATACTCCCGGATAGAGAAAACATTGTATTAAAGTAGATGTAAACCTTAGACATGAAATATGAACAAAGTATATCCCTCTGTAGTGTGCATTTGTCTCAATCCAGAGCACTAAGTGTCATTTCTGTCTGCTGCCTGCCTCCTTCCTCTGCTATCTGAGTCAGTTTTGACACGTTTTCCTGACACCAATGGAAGAATGGTGACAGGGGAGGGTCCTCCAGCATATTGACAGCCACAGTTCCTGTGTGAAAGGGGGGAGGGGGTGTCTGTCCCCCAATCAGCTTTCACTGAACTGCAGAGTGTAACTTCGGCTCTCTGAACCCCCCCCCCCCCCCCCCTCCGCTTTCTGGAAGCTCAAACAAGCTGTGTAAATTCTGTACAGATGGTAGCAGATAAACAGGTGCAACGTATGTAGGAGGATTTGTTTAATCTTTGAGGCACAAAGCATATCCCTCTATAGTGTGCATGTTTCTCAATCCAGAGCACTAATTGTCATTTCTGTCTGCTGCCTCCTTCCTATGCAGTTCTAACACGTTTTCCTGACACCAATAGAAGAATGGTGACAGGAGAGGGTCCTCCAGCATATTGACAGCCTCAGCTCTGTTCCTGTGTGAAGGGAGGGTGTCTCTGTCCCCCAATCAGCTTTCACTGAACTCTGCAGAGTGTAACTTCAGCTCTCTGACACCCCACCTCTGCTTTCTGGAAGCTCAGACAAGCTGTATACATTCTGCACAGATGGTTGCAGATAAACAGGTGCAACTTATGTAGGATTCGTTTCTTCTCTGAGGCCGGTCACTTCACTGGGTATATGGAAAGGTCTATAAGCTGTATGTAAATCAACGAGGTCTATTTCAGAAGGGACGGTACCCCTGGCACATATGAACAGATGGCACCCACCGATGACACGCCCCTCCGTGTTCAGTATTGGCGTGTGTTGGCGGACGGGGGGCCCCGTGGAGGTCAGGCCCACACGCTTCCGGTTCACCTTCCCCTTAATCTGAGGTACGATGACGGAGGCTCCAGGGAAATCCATGGCGGCTCTGCGACGCTTACCTGTGAAATCAGAAAGAAGTTAATCGGTGTGCAGGCCGGTTCCCGGCTCTCCTCTGCCACCTATAGAATTATCATAGGCACCTCTGTAGTAACAAAGTAACACAAATGCTCACAGATGTGGAGGACTAAGGATGGAAAAAGATACTTCAAAATAGAAACAGAAATACCAAATCGGAGTAAGACTAAAGGAACCCCCCCTTTTTTTCCCCCCATTTCGATAGAATAAGGGAGGATTATAACCCCCATCAGGTTTTCTTCCACCATCTGTGTACCCGCTCAGGAGATTTCCCGTCACTTCCTGTCCCATAACCAAAACAGGAAGTGAGAGGAAATCTCTTTAACCCCTCCCCTACTGGGCACTTATACCCCCTTCCTGACCAGGCCAGTTTTCAGCGCTGTCACACTTTGAATGACAATTGCGCGGTCATGCAACACTGTACCCATATGACATTTTTATCTTTTTTTTTTTGTGACAGATAGAGCTTTATTTTGGTGGTATTTAATCACCTCCGAGTTTTTTTATTTTTGGCTAAACAAACCAAAAACAACTGAAAATTGTGAAAAAAAAACATTTTTTCTTAGTTTTTGTTATAAAATTTTGTAAATAAGTGAATTTTCTCCTTCACGGATGTGCGCTAATGAGGCTGCAGTGATGGGCACTGATAGGCGGCACTCATAGGCGGCACTGACTGGCACTGTTAGGCGGCACTGACAAGCAGCTCAGATGGGCACTGTTAGGCGGCACTGACAAGCAGCTCAGATGGGCACTAATATGTGGCATTGATGTGCACTGGTAGGCACTAATATGTGGCATTGATGTGCACTGGTAGGCACTGATATGTGGCATTGATGTGCACTGGTAGGCACTAATATGTGGCATTGATGTGCACTGGTAGGCACTGATATGTGGCATTGATGTGCACTGGTAGGCACTAATATGTGGCATTGATGTGCACTGGTAGGCAGTGATATGTGGCATTGATGTGCACTGGTAGGCACTGATATGTGGCATTGATGTGCACTGGTAGGCACCAATATGTGGCATTGATGTGCACTGGTAGGCACCGATATGTGGCATTGATGTGCACTGGTAGGCACTGATATGTGGCATTGATGTGCACTGGTAGGCACTAATATGTGGCATTGACGTGCACTGGTAGGCACTGATATGTGGCATTGATGTGCACTGGTAGGCACTAATATGTGGCATTGATGTGCACTGGTAGGCACTAATATGTGGCATTGATGTGCACTGGTAGGCACTAATATGTGGCATTGATGTGCACTGGTAGGCACCAATATGTGGCATTGATGTGCACTGGTAGGCACTGATATGTGGCATTGATGTGCACTGGTAGGCACTAATATGTGGCATTGATGTGCACTGGTAGGCAGTGATATGTGGCATTGATGTGCACTGGTAGGCACTGATATGTGGCATTGATGTGCACTGGTAGGCACTAATATGTGGCATTGATGTGCACTGGTAGGCACTAATATGTGGCATTGATGTGCACTGGTAGGCACTAATATGTGGCATTGATGTGCACTGGTAGGCACTGATATGCACTGGTAGGCACTAATATGTGGCATTGATGTGCACTGGTAGGCAGTGATATGTTGCTTTGATGGCCAATGACAGTTGGCACTGCTGAGCTACACTGATCATCAGGGCACACTGATCACCAGTGCCCTGATGATCAGTGTACATGTCCCCTCCGAGGAATGCCGATTACCGGCTCTGCTCTCCTCTCCTGTCAGCGTGACAGCTCGTGAGAAGAGAAATACCGATAACCGGCATTTCCCTATTTACATGTGATCAGCTGTGATTGGACACAGCTGATCACATGACAGAGCCGACATCTTCGGCTCTTTCCGTTAATCGGTGGTCCGCTGTGTCCGAGGAACACAGCGCACCACCGATCGCCGCGCTGCGTGCTCCTGGATCCGCGCATGCGTGGTTAGATTAGGAGGACATCATATGGCGTCCTCACAGAACTAGAGAGCCGCCTTGTGCCCGTTTTTACCTTATATGGTGGGGGCGGGAGGCGGTTAAAGTGAGGGAACCCCCAGGGTGTCACCAGAACTAGTGTCCCCAATCGAAGGTTTCAGTTCTGGTGACAACCTAAAATTGGGTTCAGGGACACCACAAAATGAAACATGCTGTAAGGGCTAAGATACACAACCCCTCCCCCACCTAGTGTCCACACCAGACTGGCCTCCACAGGGGTGGTAGTGTCGTCAATGTCATTCCCGTATAGACAGAGGCCGGCCTCCAGACGCAGACTGTCCCGGGCCGCCAGACCGGCCAGCTTCACCTCCGGGCTCTGCAGCAGCTTCTCCGCCAGCTCCACGGCTCTGCCACCGGGCACCGAGATCTGGGGGGACACAGGGACAGGACAGCTGAAATTGGGGGTCAGCAGAGGCCAATCAGAAAAGGATAAGAGAAATCTCCACCCAGATATAAAAAGATCATTTATTCGTCTTATGAGTGTTGTTCTGTTTGTAGTGTCGCTCCATGCAATGACATGCCTCCTTGGACTCGGGGAGGGGGGAGGGGGGGTCAGGCTCACTTCTGCATACAGACCAATCAGCTTCCAGGTTTTATTGCCAAAGCTTAACGGAACAAGCTGAAGTTAGAAGCAGGTTGGTTTCTATGGAGAAGTGACCCGGATCTGGCACTCTGCAGCTTTAGTAACTAAACCCCCTTCTGTCTGGACAGTTTAGTCACCTGCTGACTTGGCACCATCAACAGGCAGCTTAACTCTTTACCCCGCATTCACTATATCCGCTCTCCCCGGACCCCGCATTCACTATATCCACTCTCCCCGGACCCCGCATTCACTATATCCTCTCTCCCCGGACCCCGCATTCACTATATCCGCTCTCCCCGGACCCCGCATTCACTATATCCGCTCTCCCCGGACCCCGCATTCACTATATCCGCTCTCCCCGGCCCCCGCATTCACTATATTCGGTCTCCCTCGAACCCCGCATTCACTATATCCACTCTCCCCGGACCCCGCATTCACTATATCCTCTCTCCCCGGACCCCACATTCACTATATCCTCTCTCCCCGGACCCCACATTCACTATATCCGCTCTCCCCGGACCCCGCATTCACTATATCCGCTCTCCCCGGCCCCCGCATTCACTATATCCGGTCTCCCCCCGCACCCCGCATTCACTATATCCGCTCTCCCCGGACCCCGCATTCACTATATATCCGCTCTCCCCGGACCCCGCATTCACTATATCCGCTCTCCCCGGACCCCGCATTCACTATATCCGCTCTCCCCCGGACCCCGCATTCACTATATCCGCTCTCCCCGGCCCCCGCATTCACTATATCCGCTCTCCCCGGCCCCCGCATTCACTATATCCGCTCTCCCCGGCCCCCGCATTCACTATATCCGCTCTCCCCGGACCCCGCATTCACTATATACGCTCTCCCCCCGGACCCCGCATTCACTATATCCGCTCTCCCCGGACCCCGCATTCACTATATCCGCTCTCCCCGGACCCCGCATTCACTATATCCGCTCTCCCCCGGACCCCGCATTCACTATATCCGTTCTCCCCGGACCCCGCATTCACTATATCCGGTCTCCCCGGACCCCGCATTCACTATATCCGTTCTCCCCGGACCCTGCATTCATTATATCTGGTCTCCCTGGATCCTGCATTCACTATATCTGCTCTCCCCGGACCCCGCATTCACTATATCCGTTCTCCCCGGACCCTGCATTCACTATATCTGGTCTCCCCGGACCCTGCATTCACTATATCCGGTCTCCCCGGACCCCGCATTCACTATATCCGGTCTCCCCAGACCCAGCATTCACTATATCTACTCTCCCTGGACCCTGCATTCACTATATCTGGTCTCCCCGGACCCTGCATTCACTATATCTGGTCTCCCCGGACCCCGCATTCACTATATCCGGTCTCCCCGGACCCCGCATTCACTATATCCGCTCTCCCCGGACCCCGCATTCACTATATCAGCTCTCCCCGGACCCCGCATTCACTATATCTGGTCTCCCCGGACCCTGCATTCACTATATCTGGTCTCCCCGGACCCCGCATTCACTATATCCGGTCTCCCCGGACCCCGCATTCACTATATCTGCTCTCCCCGGACCCCGCATTCACTATATCTGGTCTCCCACAGTAAGCAGAACATGGAAACGCAATAATTTTAGTAAATATAAACTGCTGAAATCCCTTTTTTCCCATCAGCAGTATATAGCAGTCTTGTGACTTCTATCAGTGCCCAGCAGAGCACTGGTTAAAGCTTGTAGGAGGAGTTTTCTTTCTGCTCTAGGAGGATGCAAGCCCCTGACCTCTGACTGGACAGCGTTGATTGGCCTTGTGCTGGACCTGTCCCCAGCCTGTGATTGGACAGTTAAAAAGGAGAAGCGACAGAGAGAGGAGTTCATCCCCGTCAATCTGCTCTCTCCTCCTATCAGCATGCTATTTGCAGTGCAGCAGACCCGATTTGGCTCTTTGTGGTGCTTCTCCCTCCCACAGTCCCGAGCTCTGCTGTCCATGCAAGAGGCGGACACCAACTCACATTCGGAGGATTACGCTGCTTGCATAAAATCTACAATGATATATTAATGATGACAGAGCCGCAACCACTTGTGTCTTTCATATCAGATTCAGGTGAAGCGTTGGAGCGGTGTTCTTCTTTAACCCTTTCCAGACACACACACACACCGTCGCTATACTCCGCCCCTCCCTACCTCCACGCCGTCCTCTCCGGTGTAGCCGCACCGCGTCACTCTACAGCCGGGGATGCCGAACACGCTGGTAGTCACCCCCATCATGAACGTCAGCTTGGAGAGATCGTCGGCGAGTCCGGCCTGGAGAACCTGAGCCGTGGACGGACCTGCAGTGTCACATGGGAGATCAATCAGTGGCGGCCCCCCTACAACCTGTCCGAGAGATTTCTAGAAATTAAATCGGGAGTACCCCGGGGCCACCATTAGAAATCATAGGGCCCCATACAGCCCCCTAAGCGATCAAACACAGAGGGGACCCCGGGATTCCTACAATACTGCCTACCGTGATACCCCCCATCTTGCCTTCCTCTGGGATCTGCATATCCTGAGAGCCCCCCAATATTACGCTCCCCTAAGGCAGTGACCTCCCTGGCCGGATTGCTCCTGGAACTGGTGACACAGCACCCTGCAGTGGTGGTCTCATATGTGGCGCACACAGGAATGCTGGGAGCTCCGCTACACTCCAATCACAGCAGCATTAGCTGGGCTCCGGGGGAATTGAGTCTGTTCAGGCAGAACCCCACACAGTGCCACCTCCTGACTGTCCCGATTTACAGGGACTGTTCAAGTACAGTGGTCCCTTTGCTTGCCTTTACCTGGTCCTTGGGGCACCATTCCTCCCACTGACACCGACAACGGGGCAATATTCCCATCATTATCACCAACGAAGGCACTATTCCTCCCACTGACACCAACGATGGGGCACTATTCCTCCCACTGACACCGACAACGGGGCAATATTCCCATCATTATCACCAACGATGGGGCACTATTCCTCCCACTGACACCAACGATGGGGCACTATTCCTCCCACTGACACCAACGATGGGGCACTATTCCTCCCACTGACACCGACAACGGGGCAATATTCCCATCATTATCACCAACGATGGGGCACTATTCCTCCCGCTGACACCAGTGACGGGGCACTATTCCTCCCGCTGGCACCAGTGACGGGGCACTATTCCTCCCGCTGGCACCAGTGACGGGGCACTATTCCTCCCGCTGGCACCAGTGACGGGGCACTATTCCTCCCCCGCTGACACCAGTGACGGGGCACTATTCCTCCCGCTGACACCAGTGACGGGGCACTATTCCTCCCGCTGACACCAGTGACGGGGCACTATTCCTCCCGCTGACACCAGTGACGGGGCACTATTCCTCCCGCTGACACCAGTGACGGGGCACTATTCCTCCCGCTGACACCAGTGACGGGGCACTATTCCTCCCTGACACCAGTGACGGGGCACTATTCCTCCCGCTGACACCAGTGACGGGGCACTATTCCTCCCGCTGACACCAGTGACGGGGCACTATTCCTCCCGCTGACACCAGTGACGGGGCACTATTCCTCCCGCTGACACCAGTGACGGGGCACTATTCCTCCCGCTGACACCAGTGACACTATTCCTCCCGCTGACACCAGTGACGGGGCACTATTCCTCCCCTGACACCAGTGACGGGGCACTATTCCTCCCCCTGACACCAGTGACGGGGCACTATTCCTCCCCCTGACACCAGTGACGGGGCACTATTCCTCCCCCCCTGACACCAGTGACGGGGGCACTATTCCTCCCCCTGACACCAGTGACGGGGCACTATTCCTCCCCCTGACACCAGTGACGGGGCACTATTCCTCCCCCTGACACCAGTGACGGGGCACTATTCCTCCCCCTGACACCAGTGACGGGGCACTATTCCTCCCCCTGGTGACGGGGCACTATTCCTCCCCCTGACACCAGTGACGGGGCACTATTCCTCCCACTGACACCAGTGACGGGGCACTATTCCTCCCACTGACACCAGTGACGGGGCACTATTCCTCCCACTGACACCAGTGACGGGGCACTATTCCTCCCACTGACACACCAGTGACGGGGCACTATTCCTCCCACTGACACCAGTGACGGGGCACTATTCCTCCCACTGACACCAGTGACGGGGCACTATTCCTCCCACTGACACCCCAGTGACGGGGGGCACTATTCCTCCCACTGACACCAGTGACGGGGCACTATTCCTCCCACTGACACCAGTGACGGGGCACTATTCCTCCCACTGACACCAGTGACGGGGCACTATTCCTCCCACTGGCACCAATGACGGGGCACTATTCCTCCCACTGACACCAATGACGGGGCACTATTCCTCCCACTGATACCAATGACGGGGCACTATTCCTCCCACTGACACCAATGACGGGGCACTATTCCTCCCACTGGCACCAATGATGGGGCACTATTCCTCCCACTGATACCAATGATGGGACACTATTCCTCCCACTGACACCAATGATGGGGCACTATTTCCTCCCACTGACACCAGTGACGGGGCACTATTCCTTCCACTGACACCAATGAAGGGGCGCCGTTACAGTAGTACTGCCTGCACTCCCTATGGGAGGCCCTGGGAGTACCCAGAAGGACGGCAGCAGAGATCCTTTAAATGGCATCAACAACCACTGAACGCTGTAGATCCTGTAACACAGATCTATCCAAGTCTCACTCCTGTTGCTGCACTGCAAAAAAGACCTGCGAGTCGCCCAGCAGCAGACTTGTGAGAACACCGGCAGGTCAGCAGCTGATAGACAATGATTTGTTACGTGGTGTGGACGCTGCGTCACAGAGGCTGTAAATGAAGACACAACTGGAGGAAATCACCTCCCTGGTTATCTGATGACTGACAATTCTGCTGCCTGACCGCACATTTAATAACATGGTGGAGTTCTGCCGCAATATCCATAGATGGGGTCACCCACGGGGCTTCACATTCTTCCCTGCAGTGACGTCACCTTGCACAGCCAGCAGAGCCAAGTCCACATTTTCCAGATCCACGTCCCGGCGGCCACTCTGAACTCCAGCAGGCGGTTCTGGGGGAAGGGGGACAGATGGGGGTCAGTGACTGTATAATCAAGTGGTCACAAATAAAAGGGGGGGCGGGGAGATACCTTCAGGTGGGTGGAGTCTTTCTCTGCACAGCCAGCATTGGACACCACGTAGAGATGACCCTCGGAGGTGTTGTTGACAATGAGGTCATCGATGATCCCTCCCCTCTCATTGGTGAAGAGAGTTAGCGTACCCTGTACAGAGAGCACATTGGTCAGCTATGTGATGGGGGGGGGGGGCACAGTCATGGGGGGAGAGGAAAGTACAGGAAGGATAACTACATCATGGCGGTGCAAAAAATGACATCACCTCCCATGCAGGGCAAAGTGACAGCATCTCTGTAAAGGGGCCCCCCTGACCCCCCCTCACATCTACGCAACATTTTGCTCCTCTGCAGATGGAGGAATCAGCTGTGTCAGTGGCCCAGGGAAGCAGTCAACCCCCCCAGGCACATGTCCAACGATTGGCTGCTGGACCCAAGCAATGTCAAAGGGGAGGAGCTCACACGCTCCCGAATTACTCCAAAGCACCGGGTATTGCTGCTGCAACAGAGGAAGGTGCAGTAGGGGGATCTCTAGTAAGGCGAGCATAAAGGGGGCAGTGGGGGGGCCTTCTGCAGAGACACTGTGCCTATTTCTTGCATGGGCAAGTTGACAGGGGGTGTTTAAATGTGTTAGTTCACCTTTTCAATGGTATGCACTGATGAGGTGGCGCGGATAGGCAGCACTGATGGGCACTGATAGGCTGCACTGATAAGGTGGCACTGGTGGGCACTGATGAGGAGTCACTGATGATGCTGCACTGGTAGGCAGCACTGATAGGCACTATTAGGCTACACTGATGAGATGGCACTGGTGGGCATTGATGATGCTGCACTGATACGCAGCACGGATGGGCACTGATAAGATGGCACTGGTGGGCATTGATGAGGAGGCACTGATGATGCCACACTGATATGCAGCACTGATGGGCACTGATAGGCAGCACTGATGAGATGGCACTGGTGGGCATTGATGGAGGCACTGATGATGCCACACCGATATGCAGCAATGATGGGAACTGATGAGATGGCACTGGCGGGCATTGATGAGGAGGCACTGATGATGCCGCACTGATATGCAGCAATGATAGGCACTGATAGGCAGCACTGATGAGATGGCACTGTCGGGCACTGATGAGGCACTGATATGCAGCAATGCTGGGCACTGATAAGCGACACTGATGGATGGCACTGCTCATCAGCGCCCCGATTATCAGTGCAGATCTGCCCTGTGACATTTGCCGGTCATCGGCAGTACTTTCCTCACGTTGTGACAGAGAAAGGAACGTGCCGCCGATAACCTCCAACTGTATATACTTTGTGATCTGCTGTGTCATTGGACGCAGCCGATCACGTGGTAAAAGGCTGCAGTGATTGGCCTTTTACCTCGACATGTGATCAGCTGTGTCTGTAGGACACCGTAATCACTGACAGCGCCAGGTGCGCGCCGCTAGGGACTCGCGTTCCGGGAGGACGTCATATGACGCTTTCCCAGAACTGGACATCCATGCTGTAGCCATCATTCGGCTTTAGCGCGGTTGTGAAGTGGTTAGTCAGTACAGTATTCGTCCGAAAATACAACACAAATACATGACTTTGCTTGCAAAATGTTTTCCTTTTGTACAAAAGTTTAGCACCATTTCATTTTCAATATGGAGACTAGCGTGCAACAAAAAAAAAAAAAAAAAACTCCGGCTGATCATTCGTCCGACATTCTTACCACGTGTATGGGGCATTATGCAGGCCATAGATGGGTCGAAAATCGGCCGATTTTGTCGGCCAAAAATAAAATCGGCCAATTTTCGGATCGTTAGTGGGCTATTTGGTCGGCCGTTTTTCGGTATTTTGGCAGATTTTTTTTTTCGGTAAAGTTGGAAAAAAATCGGCCAATTTTCGCGGCAATGATGGGCAATTCGGAAGAAGAAGAAGAAGAAGAAAGAAGAAGAAAGAAAGAAGGAAGAAAGAAAGAAGAAGAAAGAAAGAAAGAAAGAAAGAAAGAAAAGAAAGAAAGAAAGAAAGAAAGAAAGAAAGAAAGAAGAAAGAAGGAAGAAGAAGAAGGAGAAAGAAGGAAGGGAAGAAGGAAGGAAGAAAGAAAGAAGAAGAAAGAAGGAAGAAGAAGGAAGAAGAAGGAAGAAGAAGAAGGAAGAGGAAGAAGAAAGAAGGACGAGGACGAGGAAAAGGATGAGGATGAAGAAGAAGAGGATGAGGATGAGGATGATGAGGATGAAGAAGAAGAAGAAGAAGAGAGGATGAGGATTTAGAAGAAGAAGAGGATGAAGAAGAAGAAGAGGATGAGGATGAGGATGAAGAAGAGGATGAGGATGAAGAAGAAGAGGATGAGGATGAAGAATAAGAAGATGAGAATGAGGATGAAGAAGTAGGATGACAAATAAGAGGAATTCCAGTCCAGCAAAAAGTGTCCCTGCAGAGAGCTCCGCTATTTTTGACAGTTCCTTGACATTTACAGCGGTTGCAACATTGTATCTATTTGTTTCCAAATAAAAACATCTGTATCCTAAATGGAAACAAATAGATACATTGTTGCAACCTCTGTAAATGTCAAAGAACTGTCAAAGAAATAGCGGAGCTCTCTGCAGGGACACTTTTTGCCGGCTGTAGACGGGATGAAAATCGGCCGATTTTTTTTTTTACCATTGATGGTAACGTCGGCCGCTTGAACGACCGATTTTTCGTTTTTTAAAAGAAAAATCTGCCGTTTTTCTCCCCGTCTATGGCCTGCATTAGATTGACAGTCCCACAAAATAAAAACAAAATGTAACTTTCTGCTACTTCATTAGGGAAATTGTTACAATGTATCTTCTTCTGACCAATCACCGGCTTCTATGAATAATACTGGAAAGATACATTTAGTTGGTATTTGGTGAAGTTTTCCAATCCTCGACCAGAGCTGATTGGACCCAGAGGTGATGTGTGGTCGGCCAATCAGAATAGGAGGATCGCAGAGATCCATAATGTCACTAATCAAATGTCCATATGGATCTGCCGAGTGGGCAATATCACAGGGGGGTGTACAGGGGGTGTTGTTCCTCACCTGGTTCTCCTTTAATTCTGCAATGTCCCCCACCACCAGGCTCTCCATGAAGGGGATCCGCTCCTTCCCGTGTACCCGGGTCTTAAAGAAAGCAAATCAATAAGTAAATCAATAAAAAAGGAATGTATTCATCGATCTGCACAGCATTTCTTTGGGATTCATTCCAGCCAACAGTTGGTGGTATTCTCCCTATTGGCCCTACAAATGGAAAAGTGTGTTCCCATGATCCAGCCCCACCCCCTCTATGAAGGCCAAACCCACACAGACTGATGGAGAGGGAGGAGCAAAGAATCATAAGACCAGAGGCTCCAGTGGCGCTTCTTTTTTGGTCTGCAATTCGAAGTTGCCCCGCTAGATCCGTGTTGGGCTTATCCTCTATATCCGCCATCAATACATTTACAGTTTGGCCATAATAATAGACACCCCCCCCCCCCCCTGCCCGGTTACACTGCACATTACCTGCAGCATGTGGGACACATCAAACAGGGAGCAGTGCTGGCGGGTGTGCAGGTGCGAGGCGATGTGACTGTCCTTATACTGCACCGGCAGGCTCCATCCTGCGAACTCCACCATCTTACCGCCATGATGGCGGTGGAAAGTCGTAGAGCGCGGTCTGGCGAGGGGCATCCACCTGAGGAAGAGAGATGAGAATACGGTTACTGAGAATTTGTGAGAGGAGAACGCCGAGCTCCTGGAATGTCGGAGCAGCGGGGAGGTGTGAAGTGGAAGAATTATGGTTGGAGCTCCGCAGAGATACAAAGATACAAAGTACACGGAGTTCACCGCGCTGACTCAGCAGAGCGAACGCCGATAATTGCATTAATTACGCTTCACAGGCGGGAACAGGATCCGACCGGATTGTATCCGAGAGAACCCTCGATCCGCACTAAAACTGTCTGCCAATGTGAAAAGGAATCAGTCCAGGACCACTGATACCCCGTTCTAATAGTCCCTGCCATCTCCCCCCTCCAGGGTGCCAGTCCCTGCCCTCTCCCCCCCTCCAGGGTGCCAGTCCCTGCCCTCTCCCCCCTCCGGGGTGCCAGTCCCTGCCCTCTCCCCCCCTCCGGGTGCCAGTCCCTGCCCTCCCCCCCCCCCCCCCAAGGTGCCAGTCCCTGCCCCCCCCCCCCCCAGGGGTGACAGTCCCCCCTCTCCCCCCTCCAGGGTGCCAGTCTTTGCCCTCTTCCTCTCATGTACCAACCTCTGCCCTTTTCCCCCTTCTGGGATGCCAATCTTTGCCCTCTCCCCACTCCGGGGTACCAGTCTCTGCCCTCTCCTCCCTCCGGGTTCCAGTCCCTGCCCTCTCCCCACTCCGGGGTGCCAGTCCCTGCCCTTTCCCCACTCCGGGGTGCCAGTCTTTGCCCTCTTCCTCAAGTACCAACCTCTGCCCTTTTCCCCTTCTGGGGTGCCAATCTTTGCCCTCTCCCCACTCCGACGTACCAGTCCCTGCCCTCTCCTCCCTCTGGGGTGCCAGTCTTTGCCTTCTCAAGTACCAATCTCTTTCCCCTTCTGGGGTGCCAATCTCTGCCCTATACTCATTCCAGGGTGCTAGTCTCTGTCTTCTCCCCCTCCAGGGTGCAAAGCTATTCCCCCTCCTCCCTCTGTGGTCCCCGTCTCTGCCCTTTCCTTCCTCCCAGCTACCAATCTCTGCCCTTTCCCCCTTCTGGGGTGCCAGTTACTAACTTCTCCCTCCCTGGTGCCAGTCTCTGACCTCTCCTCCCTCCTGGGTACCAATTTCTGACCTCTCCTGGTTCCAGGGTGCCAGTCTCTGCCTATTTCCTCACTCTGGGATACCAGTTTCTGCCCTCTTTTCCCTCTGGAATACCATTCTTTGTCCTCCCAGGTGCCAGTCTCTGCCCTCTCCTCCTTCTGGGGTTTCAAACTCTGCCCTCTTTCCCCTCTCAGGTGCAAGTCTCTGCTTTCTCCCCCCTCTGGGGTGCTCTGCCCTAACCTCACTTCCAGGTGCCAGTCTCTGCCCTCTCTTCTTCTGGGGTTTCAAACTTTGCCCCCTTCCCCCTCTTGGGTCCCCTCTCTGGGGTGCCATTTTTCTGCCCTCTTCTCCCTCTGGAATACCATTCTTTGTCCTCTCCTCCCTCTGGGGTGCCAGTCTCTGCCACCTCTCCCCTCCAGGTTTCCAGTCACTGACCTCTCCTCCATCCTGGGTGCAAATCTCTGCCCTCCCCTCCCTCTGGGGTGCCAATCTCTGCCCTCCCCTCCCTCTGGGGTGCCAATCTATGCCCCCTACAAGGTAACAGTCTTTTCCCTTGCCTCATTCCAGGGTGCCAGTCTCTGCCCTTTCCTCCCTCTGGAATGCCATTCTTTGTCCTCGCCTCTGTTCAGGGTATCAGTTTCTGCCTTCCTTATCCCTTGGGGTGCCATGCTCTGCCCTCTCCCCCCTCCAGGGCGCCAGCCTCTGCCCTCTCCTCCCTCCAGGGCGCCAGCCTCTGCCCTCTCCTCCCTCCAGGGCGCCAGCCTCTGCCCTCTCCTCCCTCCAGGGCGCCAGCCTCTGCCCTCCTTAGCCCCCTGTATGGGAACATGGCAGTCAGTAATGTGCATGGTGCTCTACCAGTTGGATGCACCCAGTGTGGTAGAGGTCGGCGTCTCCCAGCAAACTGACTACATTTCAGAAGAAACAGATTAGAGACCTTTGGCTGTGGGAGGAGCACCTGTCATTCACATGGGGGCAGAGTCCATGTCCCCCCCCCCCCCCCCCCCCCCCGAACACACACTGCATACCACCAGCCAGCCCACAGGCTCCACACTCCAAATCAGAAATCTGGGAATGGTGGCCCCTCTGTGTATGGAGTCCTGATTGATACTAAAGGGGTCCTCCGCTGCGTACGTCTTTAGTTAGGCTAAAGGCACGATAATTACGCGGCTCTGATGACCAAAACTGACCGATAACTGACAGCAATGGACTGAAAAGTGATGTCATAGCACAGCCAATAATAAGCCCCCCCCCCCCCCCAAGCGAACGAAACAATACAGAATGAAACGAGTAGCAACCAACGCTTTATTTATGGTCAATAAAACAGCAACACTACGGCACAGGACAGCGATATGAAGTCACATCACATGATATATAATTCCAACACGTCTAGTCCTGCAGAGAGCAGGGATAAAGTTATAGTAAATGAGAGAAAACACAGCGACACTACTGCCGAGGTCAGCGCTACGCTCAACCAGGAAATAGAACGAAAACTGCAATACAAATAAAAGTGGAAAACAAATATAATGATGATAGTATGGCTGCGTTCACACTGGCGCGTTTTTGCTGCATTTTTATTACTGAGACAGAAACGTAAAAAAAAAAACGCAATCCCTTTAAATCTCATGGGACTCTTCACACCACTGCGCTGTAGAACATTTTGAAAAGTGCCGTTTTCAAAATGAATATAAAACGCATCAAAAACACACCTGCGTTATGTTTTTTGGTGTGGTTTTTCAGTCACATATCCAAATTTTACGGGACGCCTGTGTTTACAGGATGGATGTGTTTACGGGACGCCTGTGAATACGGGACGCCTGTGAATATGGGATGCATGTGTTTACGAGATGCATGTGAATATGGGACCCCCTGTTTTACGGGACGCCTGTGTTTACGAGATGCATGTGAATATGGGACGCCTGTGTTTACGGGACGGATGTGTTCACGGGACGCCTGTGTTTACGGGATGCATGTGAATATGGGATGCATGTGAATATGGGATGCATGTGCACACAATCATAACTATGAAAAAAATAAAAATCTAACAATAATGATAAAAATCATAAAGATATAAAAAACAAATAATAAAAACAATATTAATAAATATGATGTTAATAATTTAAAAAAATCGAAACATAAATACAATGATAATATATTGATAATAATAACAGTAATAATAATAAAAATATAACGACGATGATAATAAATGTAATGATAATAATAAACTGAATAATAATATACATTATATTGCCAAAAGTATTGGGCCGCCCTCCAAATCATGTGTTTCAGGTGTTCCAATCCCCCCCCCCCCAATCATGTGATTCAGGTGTTCCAATCCCCCCCAAATCATGTGATTCAGGTGTTCCAATCCCCCCCAAATCATGTGATTCAGGTGTTCCAATCCCCCCCCAAATCATGTGATTCAGGTGTTCCAATCCCCCCCCCAAATCATGTGATTCAGGTGTTCCAATCCCCCCCCCAAATCATGTGATTCAGGTGTTCCAATCCCCCCCCAAATCATGTGATTCAGGTGTTCCAATCCCCCCCCCAAATCATGTGATTCAGGTGTTCCAATCCCCCCCCCCCAAATCATGTGATTCAGGTGTTCCAATCCCCTCCATATCATGTGATTCAGGTGTTCCAATCCCCTCCATGGACACAGGTGTATACAATCAAGCCCCTAGGCATGCAGACTGCTTCTACAAACATTGGTGAAAGAATGGGTCGCTCTCAGTTTATGGAGGAGCTCAGGTGGAGATAATAATCCGCTCATGATGAGACCACGCTCCTGCACATGTCGGCGCTATAGTAGTCGTCCATACAACACAATGATAATGAAGCAGAGTGGGGGATGAGGATGAAGGTGGTCGGTCATTACCTGCTGCCCCCCGCTGTAGCCTCTCCTCTGCACCCGGATCACCCCCCGGACGCCCGCACACACCGTTCGCAGCATCTCCGCCACCTGACTGCACTGCACATGCGTGAGACACACACCTACCACAGAGGGCGCGCATGCGCGAGACACACACCCTACCAGAGGGCGCGCATGCGCTGTGGTCCCCTCCGGCTCAGCTGTAATTCATCCTTCGTGGAGGACTCAGTGTAGATCAGTGACCCCAATTGTAGGGAGTGCAAAGAGGGGGAAGAATGCATTTATATACAGACACATATATATCTAAAGAGAGAGAGAGATCTATATATATATCTATATCTATATATATATATATATATATGTTATTTGAACTTGCTTCTAAGTTTTGGGTGGAGTTGGGTTGGGATACCCCACGATGGGCAGGGACGCCCCAAGGAGGATGGAGATACCCCCTGGTGGGCAGGGAAACCCCAAGGAGGATGGGGATAGCCCATGGTGGGCAGGGACACCCCAAGGAGGATGGGGATACCCCATGATGGGCAGGGACACCCCAAGGAGGATGGGGATACCCCATGATGGACAGCGATACCCCAAGGAAGATGGGGATAGCACATGGTGGGCAGGGACACTACAAGAAGGATGGGAATACCCCATGATGGGCAGGGACATCCCAAGGAGGATGGGTATACCCACTGGTAGCCAGGGACACCCCAAGGGCGGTGGGGATACCCCATGATGGACAGCGATACCCCAAGGAAGATGGGGATAGCACATGGTGGGCAGGGACACTACAAGAAGGATGGGAATACCCCATGATGGGCAGGGACATCCCAAGGAGGATGGGTATACCCACTGGTAGCCAGGGACACCCCAAGGACGGTGGGGATACCCCCTGGTGACCAGGGAAACTCAGAGGAGGATGCTGATGTCCCAGGCTTGGCAAGGACACCCCAAAGAGGGAGGGAATACCCCATTGGGGGTACCCTAAACTCCCAGGTATGCAGGAGCAGAGTCAGGAATTATGTCAGGGAGCTTTTTAGCTATAGGAGGAGCCTAGTGTGTGGAGTCAGCCCTTGGCTTCTTATATATTTTGGATCCAACAGTGGATCAACCCTTGAAGACACCATTGTAGGTCCAACTTACTCAGCTGTTAGTCTCTGTTGGGCATCTACACTGGAAACCTGCCTATGGGTACCCCCATAAGTAGCAGCTCTAGGGTATCTGTATGAGGAAAGGAAACACTCTGCCCCCCACTTCACACCTTGTAAGGAGTTCATGACGTGTCTCCACCCTGACATGAATCTATGTCCATCTGTCAGTAATGAGGATCCATGTCTGCGAGTGAAAAAAATACAAAAGGACAGAAAGAGGTCATTTACTCCTTTATTGTAGGAACGCCATGGAGGCAGGGCCAGATTGCTCAATAGGCACGTGCCTACAGGCGCCCTTCCTAGAGGGAAATCCGTCTCTATGAGGTTTTTTTTTTGGACAGCTGTCCCAAGGAGTCCCGGAAATGAAGGTCTGTCACGGACGGCTGAGCTGCAGAACTTAGTGCAGATGGCACCAAAACAGATGCCGCTGGACGGGTGGGGCGAGTAGCAGACATAACTTGCGGCACACAGGTCCCTCCCCCTACCTCCTTTGGCTCCTGGGCCCCAGCAGCTGATCAGACAGGTCTATTGGCAAATTGAGGCTTGTAGTGATTGGGTGGGACTCTGCAGGGGGAATGGTCGCCTTGGAGGAGGTGATCACGCCGGCCTGCCGTCTGGTGCAGGTGTGACATGCTCAGTTGGGCTGTAGACACTGTGAATGGAGCGCCAGTAGGTACGAGGGGGGTGAGCGGAGGAATCCAGGCTGGGGACAGTCAGGATCTCTTTAGGTGGAGTAGAGAGAGGGCACAGACAGTGAGGTGGAGGGCTCACTGCGAGTCAGTGTCCTATACTCAGTGTGGCACAGCTCTGATGAATGCATTACAGAGTGAGGGACCATATCACAACTCTAATGAAGGTACTAAAGAGGGCGGAGCCATCTCACAGCTCTGATGAAGGTACTATAGAGGTCGGAACCATGTCACAGCTCTGATGAAGGTACTACAGAGGGCCGAGCCATGTCACAGCTCTGATGAAGGTACTACAGAGGATGGAGCCAGGTCACAGCTCTGATGAAGGTACTACAGAGGGCGGAACCATGTCACAGCTCTGATGAAGGTACTATAGAGGGCAGAACCATGTTAAAGCTCTGATAAAGATACCAGAGAGGGCAGAGCCATGTCACTGCTGTGATGAAGGAACTACAGAGGGCGGAGCCAAGTCACAGCTCTGATGAAGATACTATAGAGGGCGGAGCCATGTCATAGCTCTGATGAAGGCACTACAGAGGGCGGAGCAAAGTCACAGCTCTGATGAAGATACTATAGAGGGTGGAGCCATGTCATAGCTCTGATGATACTATAGAGGGCAGAGCCATGTCACAACTATGATGAAGGTACTACAGAGGGCGGAGCCAAGTCACAGCTCTGATGAAGATACCATAGAGGGAAGAGCTAAGTCACATCTCTGATAAAGATACTATAGAGAGCGGAGTCACATCACGGCTCTGATGAAAGTACTAGAGAGGGCGGAGCCATGTTAAAGCTCTGATGACGGTACTAGAGAGGGTGGAGCCAAGTCACAGCTCTGATGAAGGTACTAGAGAGGGTGAAGCCAAGTCACAGCTCTGATGAAGGTACTAGAGAGGGCGGAGATGTTTCACACACACAGTTTGATCTGGGCACAACCAATCGTCTCCGTCTCATGTGGAATGTGATGACTCTCGGCAGATATGACAGCTTATAACAAGAAAAGACAGGCAGGTGACATCACTAAGGTATAAGGTCCCTTTATTAATGATAAATGATCTCACAATATTGTCCTCCCGGGACCCACTGGGGACACCACAGGGGAACTGATCTGTCTATCCAATCCCAATCCGACATCCAAATTCCCACACTGAGGCTCCTCCCATTCCTGACACATTGCAGCGCTCATGTGTACGACAGAAGATTGATGTCATAACAGCCGTCCACCTGGAGAGAGAGAACAATACAAGGAATAAGAGTCATATCACTGTAGAGCAGTGCTTCTCAATTATTTTCTGTCATGCCCCCCCTAGGAAGAAGAAACATTTCGCGCCCCCCCGCGTGACTGTAAATAGTATCATTTGTCTATAAAATTGTTATAAGTAGGAATAGTGCCCCCTCATTGGTGTCAGTGGAAGGAATAGTGCCCCATCATTGGTGTCAGTGGAAGGAATAGTGCCCCATCGTTGGTGTCAGTGGGAGGAATAGTGCCCCATCGTTGGTGTCAGTGGGAGGAATAGTGCCCCATCGTTGGTGTCAGTGGGAGGAATAGTGCCCCATCGTTGGTGTCAGTGGGAGGAATAGTGCCCCATCGTTGGTGTCAGTGGGAGGAATATTGTGCCCCATCGTTGGGACCCAGTGGGAGGAATAGTGCCCCATCGTTGGTGTCAGTGGGAGGAATAGTGCCCCATCGTTGGTGTCAGTGGAAGGAATAGTGCCCCATCGTTGGTGTCAGTGGGAGGAATAGCGCCCCATCGTTGGTGTCAGTGGGAGGAATAGCGCCCCATCGTTGGTGTCAGTGGGAGGAATAGCGCCCCATCGTTGGTATCAGTGGGAGGAATAGCGCCCCATCGTTGGTGTCAGTGGGAGGAATAGCGCCCCATCGTTGGTGTCAGTGGGAGAAATAGCGCCCCATTTCCTGACACTTTGCAGCGTTGGTGTCAGTGGGAGGAATAGCGCCCCATCGTTGGTGTCAGTGGGAGGAATAGCGCCCCATCCCCCTTGGTGTCAGTGGGAGGAATAGCGCCCCATCGTTGGTGTCAGTGGGAGGAATAGCGCCCCATCGTTGGTGTCAGTGGGAGAATAGCGCCCCATCGTTGGTGTCAGTGGGAGGAATAGCGCCCCATCGTTGGTGTCAGTGGGAGGAATAGCGCCCCATCGTTGGTGTCAGTGGGAGGAATAGCGCCCCATCGTTGGTGTCAGTGGGAGGAATAGCGCCCCATCGTTGGTGTCAGTGGGAGGAATAGCGCCCCATCGTTGGTGTCAGTGGGAGGAATAGCGCCCCATCGTTGGTGTCAGTGGGAGGAATAGCGCCCCATCGTTGGTGTCAGTGGGAGGAATAGCGCCCCATCGTTGGTGTCAGTGGAGGAATAGCGCCCCATCGTTGGTGTCAGTGGGAGGAATAGCGCCCCATCGTTGGTGTCAGTGGGAGGAATAGCGCCCCATCGTTGGTGTCAGTGGGAGGAATAGCGCCCCATCGTTGGTGTCAGTGGGAGGAATAATGCCTCATCATTAGTATCAGTGGGAGGAATAGTGCCCCATCATTGGTGTCAGTGGGAGGAATAGTACCCCATCATTGGTGTCAGTGGGAGGAATAATGACCCATCATTAGTATCAGTGACACCAATGATGCGGCACTATTCCTCCCACTGACACCAATGACACTTGTTGACCCCTGTTGCAGTATGGTGCTGCTGCAGCCAGCATATGTGGTTGCAGGAGCACCTCTGCACTGCACACTTACCGGCTTTTCCCTCACTCGATTTTCGCTATGCCGCTCGGCCATCCGCCTCCTCGCCTGTGATTTGCCGTCTGTGTACCTTTCCTGAGCTACAGTCCTGGCGGCCAATCACCGGTGAGGAGGCGGAGCCGAGCGGCAGGAGTGAGGGAGTGGCCGGAGTGACGGAAGGAGCAGTGCTTCCTGGATGGAACATCTGGGAGCCAGGTAAGAGACAGCAGCCCTCTGCCCACCCCATGTACGCGCCCCCCTTGACGGAGCCTCGCGCCCCACTATTTGAGAAGCACTGCTGTAGAGAGTCATGACACCTCCCCCTTCCCCACCACCAATGACCATGACAGTTACATGGGTCCTGAAGAGCCCCCACATGACCATGCCACATGACATGCCGATGATCCTGACTGCTACTGGATCCTGGAGAGCCCCCACATGACCATGATTGCCATGCCACATGACCATGCCAATGATCCTGACTGCCACTGGATCCTGGAGAGCCCCCACAACACCCCCTTTGAAGCACAGCAATTTTTAAATTTCTACTATGGGCCCATTTATTCAACTATAACTTCACCACAGTATATCCTTCACAAAGTATACCCTATTAACTCATTTTAAACATTTTTTTTTACATTTCTTCGATCACTTCCTGGTTTTTGGCCTAGGCCAAAATGATGTTATACATCCCAGGAGTCTTTAGGAGGGGAGGAGGGGCTTTCTCAGCTAAGCACACCCTCCTGCCTGCATGCCTAAGCTAAGGGTAGATGGGTTCCAAGAAGTAAATGCTGCATGAATCATCTGCCCTTACTCAAGATGGCCACAGCTATAAATGCTAGGGGGGCGTTTTCTAAAAGTGATTTCTAAACAAAATAAAGCATGGAAACATGGATGGATGGGGGAGTTTGCTTTGAATATTAAAAATGAATTAAATTGCTTTTCAGTTTGTGATGCTCAGATACAGTATAGTTCTGCTTTACGATGAGGGGCGTGTCTGTGATGATGGGTGTGGCCATTACTCAGCTATGCCAGAACAGAGCACTGGAGAGAGAAGGATAGGGAGCAGCATTTTCCCTGTGATAAAAAAGTTAATATTCCAGACAGTCACATGCCAACCTGCCAACACTTGCTGCGCTGCACTCTGATTGATGAGGGGCGGGTCTGTGATGAGGGGCGTGTCTATGATAATGAGTGTGGCCATTACTCAGCTCTGCTAGAGCACTAGAGGGAGAAGGGCAGGGAGCAGCATTTTTCCTGTAATAAAAAGTTAATATTCCAGACAGTCACATAGAACCTGCCAACACTCACTGCGCTGCAATCTGATTGATGAGGGGCATGTCTGTAATAATGGGTGTGGCCATTACTCAGCTCTGCTAGCAGAGAGCACTAGAGAGAGAAGGACAAGGTAGCAGCATTTTCCCTGTGATAAAAAAAATTAATATTCCAGACAGTCACATAGAACCTACCAACACTCGCTGTGCTGCACTCTGATTGATGAGGGGCGGGTCATGATGAGGGGCTGTGTGTGATGGGTGTGGCCATTACTCAGCTCTGCTAGCAGAGAGCACTAGAGGGAGAAGGGCAGGGAGCAGCATTTTCCCTGTGATAAAAAAGGTATTATTCCGTACACTCACATCAAACCTGCCGACACTCGCTGCGCTCTGATTGGACCTCATCACTTCTGTCAACACCCACATCTGCTGCAGCTCACTGGACACACGGTTGGGATCCGGAAGGCCCTGGTACATGAATGACACAGAGGTCAGATATATGGGACATCCATTAATGGGTGGAGGGACTACCAGCATCACAATATACAAGCAAAAATGACTTTATCGCTCCACCCACAACTGGTATTTCAGAGATTGATATCTGTGAGGAAAATTAAACCATTAAAATCTATCTCAAGTACTTTTTCCTCAGTTTTGGATGGAGTTTGGAAGGGTTAGACCCCCTGTCAGTTTTACATCGCTAACTGTGTTCCTGCTGGGGAGATTCATCATCTTCAGCTTCACTTTGCTCCAATTTAAGGTGGTTTCAAAACCCAAATCTGCTTCCTTGTGCCAAGCTGTCCCAGCCTGCACATCAGATCAGACAAAGTACACCAGCGTCCAGAGAAATCCCCACCATCAGTGATCTTTCCGCATAGAAAGGGAGCTTTGCTACGTAGATAACATCTTCCCAACACTGAGCGGGGTATCAGCAGCTGGCCGCACAACCCCCACCCCCCGCACCTTCCAACAAGGTGGGCAGAGCAGCCTCTTCGTTGGCTGTCATGTGAAGGAGGAGAGAGAAATTTATGGTTGTCACCAGGACAGGAAGTGAAAGGAAATCTCCCCAATGGGACACTGATGGAAAAAAAAAAATCACAACAGGGATTCTTACAAATTGTCCACCCCATCCAAAACTAACATCTGCTGTTGTCACCAGGACAGGAAGTGAAGAGAAAGAAAATCTCCCCAATGGGACACTGATGGCAAAAAAAAATTCACAACAGTAATTCTTACAATTGTCCACCCCATCCAAAACTAACATGTGCTGTGCTCAATATCAAGAGCTCCCACCATGCCTAAACAGGAGCAATAAAAAAAAAAAAAAAAACAGGAGTTGGGTGGAGAAAGCTCATGGAGGCCGGTGACACAGCCAGAAACTATGGAGGGCAGTACTGGAGACCATATATGAAGCCAGAAAGTGGCACCCACCCCTGCTTCTTCTCTAACTAGAATCCCATTTTTGCCTATACTGACTCTTGGGGGGTGTATTTATAAAACAGATTTCACAGCTAATCATCCTGTTCTGTGCAAATGGGAGTAAAATCAAATGTTACTATGCTGTTTGTTCTCCGGGTCGAATGTTATTCTTTATATAGAGTAGATCGGGAAAATACCACATTATGGCCACTAGATGGAGCAGATGATCATAAGCAATACATAGTTATTTACTATGAATGTCAGCTCCATCTAGTGGCCATCATGCTGTATGTTCCTGATTCACTCTATTCTGTATAAAGAATACCAGTTGACCTGGAGAGTAAATAGACTAACGACATTCGTTTTTGCCGCCATTCACAGGATGAATAACTCTGCAATTTTTATTTTTTAATAAATACACCCCTGGATCTTTACCCACCATTGAGGCACTGAGCGGGCGGCTCACCTTGTTCAGGCTTCGGAGTTGCTCCTTCGGGGGAAGGTGATTTAGCCACCAGGAAAACCCCTTCTGGGGACTCTAAAGGACAATAAAAAAAAATGGAAAACAGATCAGACATGTTATCATCTCATGGCCTTCTGTCAAAGAAACAAAGATTTGTACTGAATATATGAGCTACACGTGACAAACGCGGCTAAAAAAAAAAAGCACCTTTTTGAGTTATGCGCACCTTGTGTGAATTAAAGTGTTGCTAAAACCCCCAGCAGTACAGTCAGTCTGTAGATGCAGGAAAACATGCTTGTTATACTCAGTGTGGAACCTAAGGGGTTAATCCTCCACATTGTGTAAAAGGGCTGTTTTATGCTGTCTTCTCTGATCCTCCCCTTCTTCTACTGTCCCCAATCCATCTGCTGATAGTAAAGAGCTCTAGGAGAGTCGCTCTGCACATGCTCAGTTTAATGTGTGTGGCTTGAGAGGTTCTTTTGTTTTTTTTTCTTTGGGAGGGTGCATGTACTCAGCACAGGGCCAATCAGCACTGTCCGGACAGAGGGTCAGTGGTTATGCAGCCTCATAGGACAATGAGGAGAGAATGAAAACTCCTCCTACAAGCTTTAACCAGTGCTCGGCTGGACACAGATAGAAGTCACAAAACTGCTATATACTGCTGATGAGAAAGTTATTTAGCAGTTTATATTTACTAATATAATTGTATTTCCATGTTCTGTGTACTGTGGGAGACCAGATATAGTGAATGCGGGGTCCGGGAAGAGCGGATATAGTGAATGCCAGGTCTGGGGAGAGCCGGATATATTGAATGCGGGGTCCAGAGAGAGCGGATATAGTGAATGCGGGGTCCGGGGAGAGCGGATATAGTGAATGCGGGGTCCGGGGAGAGCGGATATAGTGAATGCGGGGTCCGGGGAGAGCGGATATAGTGAATGCGGGGTCCGGGGGAGATATAGTGAATGCGGGGTCCGGGGAGAGCGGTATAGTGAATGCGGGGTCCGGGGAGAGCGGATATAGTGAATGCGGGGTCCGGGGAGAGCGGATATAGTGAATGCGGGGGTCCGGGGAGAGCGGATATAGTGAATGCGGGGTCCGGGGAGAGCGGATATAGTGAATGCGGAGTCCGGGGAGAGCGGATATAGTGAATGCGGGGTCCGGGGAGAGCGGATATAGTGAATGTGGGGTCCGGGGAGAGCGGATATAGTGAATGCGGGGTCCGGGGAGAGAGCGGATATAGTGAATGCGGGGTCCGGGGAGAGCGGATATAGTGAATGCGGAGTCCGGGGAGAGCGGATATAGTGAATGCGGGGTCCTGGGAGAGCGGATATAGTGAATGCGGGGTCCGGGGAGAGCGGATATAGTGAATGCGGGGTCCGAGGAGAGCAGATATAGTGAATGCAGGGTCCGGAGAGAGCGGATATAGTGAATGCGGGGTCCGAGGAGAGCAGATATAGTGAATGCAGGGTCCGGGGAGACCAGGATATAGTGAATGCGGGGTCCGAGGGAGAGCGGATATAGTGAATGCGGGTTCCGGGGAGAGCGGATATAGTGAATGCGGGGTCCGGGGAGAGCGGATATAGTGACTGCGGGGTCCGGGGAGAGCGGATATAGTGAATGCGGGTTCCGGGGAGAGCGGATATAGTGAATGCGGGGTCCGGGGAGAGCGGATATAGTGAATGCGGGGTCCGGGGAGAGCGGATATAGTGAATGCGGGGTCCTGGGAGAGCGGATATAGTGAATGCAGGGTCCGGGGAGACCAGATATAGTGGATGCAGGGTCCGGGGAGACCGGATATAGTGAATGCAGGGTCCGGGGAGACCAGATATAGTGAATGCAGGGTCCGGGGAGAGCGGATATAGTGAATGCAGGGTCCGGGGAGAGCGGGTATAGTGAATATGGGGTCCGGGGAGACCAGATATAGTGAATGCGGGGTCCGGGAGAGCGGATATAGTGAATGCGGGGTCCGGGGAGAGCGGATATAGTGAATGCAGGGTCCTGGTTTTAGTAACACTTTAATGGCAATAATGTCACCTCGAGTAGGACATGCGTGTGATTTTGCGCACATTTACAGGCTGCAGGCTAACAGTGAATATATGATGGGGCGCACAGACATTGGTAACACAATGTAATCATTCTTTGTTTAGTACACAGAAGCCACTTCTTCTTTTTATATTTTAGCATCCCTAGCCAGGCAGTGCGTGGAAATATGTACAAAGGTCAAAAATTGCAAAAATAAAAGCCAAACAGGGCATACAGAAATTTGGCTATTTGCTAAAAGCAAAAAAAAAGAGAAATAAACATCATTCAGCATTTTTCCCCTTTGCTGGGAGCACACAAAGGAAGTTCTGTAGCCATCATGTTCAGAATACTCTCCGGGATGAGATACAATGTATCTTTTTTTATGATGTTCAGTCTATAGAGGTATGGATGAGGGCTGGACCCTAACTTTTGCCAAATAACCTCTGGGGTGGTAGTGGGGGAGGGGGGGGGGGGGCCATACCGGGTGGGCAGATTCTGGCCTTTTGAAGTGGACAAGGGTCTTACGGATCAGCTGGTTCGGACAGCTGGGTCAGAGTTAGGCTAGCTTCACACCTATGCAGGTTGCGTTTGACCCGTTTCTGCATTGAATTTTGCCACATTTTGTGTTTTTCTTTTTAATTCATCTTGTTGCTAGGCAGATTTAAAACGCAAAATGCATCAAAAATGTGACAAAAAACGCACTTACATACTTTTCTGCAGCATTTCCATAGAAGTCTATAGAACGGAAAACGCAACTTTTTGCGTTCAAAAAAGTTCCCGACCATTTTCAAAAAACGCCCTGGGTGAAAATGTGAACGTATCCCGTAGGAAATTATGTTAAATGGACTGTACTGCGTTCACAAAAACGCAGCGGAAAACGCTTAGGTGTGAATCTAAACCAGGGGTGGGCAACCTGCGGCTCTCTAGCTGTTGTGGAACTACATTTCCCATGAGGCATTGCAAAGATTACAAAACTGACAGTTACAGCTATGACTTGCAGAGGCATGATGGAACTTGTGGTCCTGCGGCTCTCAGGTTGCCTACCCCTGATCTAGGGTAAGGATCTGAGCAAACTTACAGTGGAATTGAATGTTTTTTTTTTTTAAAAAACAAAAACAAATGTGTCACACTTATCTGCTCTGTGTAATGGTTTTGCACAGAGCAGCCCCGATCCACTTCTTCTTGCATCCCCCTACCAGGGCTCCTGGCTCCTCCCCCTTGACCACGTGCTATGGGGGCACTGGTGCGTGCTCACCCTCAAGCCGGGCTCTATGCATCCATAAGACACATAGAGCCGCAGCTCGGCCCCACCCATCGCTCTCCCCTCATTGGCTCACTGGCTGTAACTACCATTTTGGATTTTATTGGAGATGAAACATAACCCCTCTGATATTACATAATGACAACATTGTTAGGACAATGTGGAGGATGAAGATGACAGCCGAACACCCGACCTCAAGTCAGGGAATGCCCAATAAAGCTGAACAGTCCCAGGACAACCGCAGTGACACCAAAGATGTGAAATGCATCCACTGCAGACATGGCGGGTGGGGGTAGAAGGTGGAGCCACATTAGCAGAACATTCGCAGACCTGAAACGTACCTGTCGGCCAGGTGGATTGATCTGCAGATCTTCAAGGGTGAATGTCGTCCAGACCGGGGACGGCTGCCGCAAAATGAGACGGATGGAGCTGACGTGGTCTGTAGCGCAGAGCATCTGTTGGGAGAGAACAGCCTCAGTGGGCACATTCATTTATAAATGGAGGACAGAGATGGCCCCAAGGCTGCAGATAACAAGGTCACCCAGCTCCATGGTGTCATAGATGGTCCGAAGGCTGCAAATATCAATGTCACCTGGCTTAACTGATACCTTCATTTATAAATGGAGGACAGAGATGACCACAACACTGCAGACAACAATGTTAGCCAGCTCCTTGGTGTCAGAGTAGTCCCCATGGCTATAACCAACCATATCACTCAGTTTCTGGGTGTCAGAGATGGCTCCAAGGCCGCAGGCAATAATGCCACCCGTCTTACCTGATACTTTGGTTTAGATGTGAAGGACAGAGATGTACCCAAGGATGCAGACAACAATGTCACCCAACCCACCTGATACAATCATTTATAGGTGGAGGACAGAGATCGCCCCAAGTCTGCAGCCAACAATGTCACGCAGATCCCTGGTGTCAGAGATGGCTCCAGGCAATAATGTCAACAAGCTCCCTGGTGTTAGAGACAACTCCTAGGCTGCAGACACCAATGTCACCCAAGTGACCTGATACATTCATTTATGGGTGGAGGAAAGAGATGGCCCCAGGTCAGCAGACGACAATGTCACCCACCCCACTGGCGTCAGAGATGGCAATGAGGTTGCTGGCAATAATACCACCCGTTTTACCAGATCGCTTTATTTAAATGTGGAGGACAGAGACAAACCCAAGGCCGCAGACCAAAATGTCACCCAACTCAACTGATACATTAATTTATAGGTGGAGGACAGAGACGGCCCCAAGTCTACAGCCAACAATGTCACCCAACTCCCTGGTGTCAAGAGATGGCTCCAAGGCTGCAGACATCAATGTCACCCAACTGACCTGATACATTAATTTATGGGTGGAGGACAAAGATGGCCCCAAGTCTACAGCCAACAATGTCACCCAACTCCCTGGTGTCAGAGATGGCTCCAAGGCTGCAGACATCAATGTCACCCAACTGACCTGATACATTCATTTATGAGTGGAGGACAGAGATGGCCCCAGGTCAGCAGACAACAATGTCACCCACCTCCCTGGTGTCAGAGATGGCTCCAAGGCTGCAGACACCAATGTCACCCAACTCACATTAATTTATGAGCAGAGGACAGAGATGGCCCCAGGTCAGCAGACAACAATGTCACCCACCCCACTGGCGTCAGAGATGGCAATAAGGTTGCCGGCAATAATACCACCCGTTTTACCAGATAGCTTTATTTAAATGTGGAGGACAGAGACAAACCCAAGGCTGCAGACCAAAATGTCACCCAACTCAACTGATACATTAATTTATAGGTGGAGGACAGAGACGGCCCCAAGTCTGCAGTCAATAATGTCACCCAGCCCCCCTGGAGTTGGAGATGGCTCCAAGGCTGCAGTCAATAATGCCACCTGGCTTACCTGATACTTTCATTTAAATGTGGAGGACAGAGTTGTACCCAAGGCTGCAGGCCACAATGTCACCCGAATCCATTTTGTCAGAGATGGCTCAAAGGCTGAAGGCGGTAAGGTCACCCAGCTCACCTGATACCATCACTTAAAAGTGGAGGACAAAGACATACCCAACACAACGATGTTCCCTAACTCACCTGATACATTCACTTTGAGTGGCGGACAGAGACGACCCCAAGGATGCAGACAACAATGCCACCTAACTCACCTGATACATTCATTTATGAGTGGAGGACAGAGACAGCCCCAAGGCTGCAGGCCACAATGTCACCCAACTCTGTGGTGGCAGAGATGACTCCAAGGCCGAAGAGAATAACACCACCCAGCTTAATAAATTCATTTAGATGTGGAGGACAGAGACGGCCCCAAGGCTGCAGGCCACAATGTCACCCAACTCACCTGATACATTCACTTATGAGTGGAGGACAGAGACGGCCCCAAGGCTGCAGACAACAATGTCACCGGTCATCATGTATTCTCTTCTTCTTCGGAGGTTGTCACCCTGCCAACACCCAAACTATGACAAAAGCTTTACCTGGAGTCCCACTTTAGTGCACATGGAGGGTCTCCGTTCTACACTCCACCCACAATGAAAGGCTCCTCCCCCAGACGTGTGCCATGTCGGGATCTCTGCCCTCACCTGGTGAGCGTGGAGGGAGACATAGTCCTGGGAGCCGTCCTCGGTGTGGGGGTTGGCCATCAGCCGCAGGTCCCTGACGCACGTCCGCCATCTTCTATTCTTGGGGTCGGACTTCTTCCTCTGCTGGATCCTCACCGTCAGGAAGGCCGTGTAGAAATTCTTAAAGGAGATCTCCTGCAGAGGAGATGGGGGAGGGGTGAGGGGGGCACGGACACAGAACTGGAAGGTCAGTTTTGGGTGGAGATTAGCAGAATTCACAGGGTGAGACTTACGTGGACGGTCTGAGGTTTCTGGAGGGTGACATCGATGACGTAGACGCCGGGGCGGCCCAGCTCCGACTTCCCATTCCCCACCTGGAGTGGGACCGGCGCTTTCACCGAACACGGAGCCGAATCCTGAGCCATGACACCTGGAAGGGGGCAACAATTAAAGGGGCACTCCACCTACAAATGATATTTTGGTTGGTAGGGCTTCTTGTATGTGAGATGTCAGACTGTGTGGGTCCTCCAGCCAGCTGTAAAAGGGAAGAAAAAGGCTGCTGAGTTCATGGAGAATGATCACTTCTGCCTGGAGCTGTCCTCTTATAGTGAATATGGCGATATGTGGGGCTCATCCCCCGACTCACCTCATTCATTCCTCATTTGCCCTTATCCAACATGGCGGCGGGTCCCTTCACTCCTTGTCTCAGTACTACGGCTTCCCACATCCAATATGGCCGTCAGGAGATCACCTGATCCGGCGTCTATTCGTTTCTGTGGAGATGGGAGAGCAGCTGACAGACGTGCTGGTCACATGACCGAGCATTGAGCCCCGCCTACAGGCAGGTGTTCTGACGGAACTGGGCGCTCGGGGAGGGGTCAGATACAGCGTCTGTCATGGCGGCGGCCCAGGTGAGAGGTCGGAGGAGGGGGGGGACTACAACTCCCAGCATGGCCCGGGAAGGGGGGGGGGTGGGATAAGGGGAGACCTCTCCCCGCCTCCATCTAGCTCCTTGTTATTATCTGTAGCCTTGTGGTTGATGGCCCTCCGACCCCCAAAGAGAGCCCCTGGTGGGGGGAGGGGATTTCCACACCCAACCCCCAATGACAAGGGGGAGCATGAGACCCCAAATCCTGCAGAATGTGTGACCTGCGCTACAGTATAGGGAGCGATACTCCGCCCAGAAACCCCGCCTCCTCCCTGTCTACTTCCCCTCCCCCCTCCCCAAAGTACTCTCCTCCCTCCTGTCCACCCCCCCCCCCCCAAAGTACTCTTCTCCCTCCTGTCCACCCCCCCCCCCAAAGTACTCTTCTCCCTCCTGTCCACCCCCCCAAAGTACTCTTCTCCCTCCTGTCCACCCCCCCCCCCCCCCCCCCCCAAAGTACTCTCCTCCCTCCTCCTGTCCATCCCCCCCCACATTCCCCCCCAAAGTACTCTTCTCCCTCCTGTCCACCCCCCCCCCCAAAGTACTCTCCTCCCTCCTGTCCACCCCCCCCCCCCAAAGTACTCTCCTCCCTCCTGTCCATCCCCCCCCACATTCCCCCCCAAAGTACTCTCCTCCCTCCTGTCCACCCCCCCCCCCCCCAAAAGTACTCTCCTCCCTCCTGTCCATCCCCCCCCACATTCCCCCCCAAAGTACTCTCCTCCCTCCTGTCCAACCCCCCCCCCCCCCCCCAAAGTACTCTCCTCCCTCCTGTCCACACACCCCCCACCATTCCCCCCCCCCAAAGTACTCTCCTCCTTCCTGTCCATCCCCCCCCGCACACTCTCCCACTCCTAACCCCCCCCCCCACAGTACTCTCCTCCCTCTAGTCCATCCCCCCCACACTCTCCCACTCCTCCCCCCCAAAGTACTCTCCTGCCTCCTGTCCATCCCCCCCACATTCTCCTCCCCCCCCCCCTTTACATTCTCCAATCTCCTCTTTCCCATGTACACTCCTGCCCCCCTCCCCTGGGTATAATATTTCTTCTCTCTTCCTCCTCGTACTCGTCCTTCCCTCTCTATACACCCCCCCCAATCTCTCCCTCCCTGTGTACACTCACCTGTCTCCAAGTACCATCCCCCTCCACCCTGTACTCCCTCTTCCCCAATTTACCCCCCCCATCCCCACACACTGTTTTTACCCTCTCTGCCCCTTTTACATTTTCTCCCTCCCCCTACACATACTTTCTCTTCCCCATGGTGCCTGTACAGACCCCCTAGCACCCTTTTGCTCCCTCTGTAGGGATTTTGGAGAATGGCCATCCATTGGTCATTATGTCCCGGAGGTGTCCAGTTTACATACGATAGAGACACGCCACACTAACTCCGCCCTCTGCTGATCGGATAGAGTAATGCTAGCAGAGTGAGACCCTGCACCGCGATAGCCGCCCCCCCCCCGTACAGGCGGAGGTTCTGGGATTATACACATTGCCGGAGCTCCTCCACATCAGAGGGGGTTTTCTGTTTGTGGGTATTGTGTGTGACGGGTCAGTTCTGGGTGGAGGACTCATCTTCTCTGTTTTGTTTCAGCTCATCAATAACCCCAAAGAAATCTCCACCCTCTACCGTGACCTCAGCCAGTTCCCATCGCTGAACGCCGTCTCTATAGGGCCCGAGGTCACCACCCAGTATGGGGGCAAATACAGCAACATCTACACAGGTGAGACCACGGGTATATACACTAAATTGGCAAAAGTATTGCATCCCAGTCCGTCCGTAGGGTTCAATATGGAGTTGGCCCTGCCCTTTCCACACACATGACCTTTAATGGTCCCCCCAGTCTTAGTCCGTAGGGTTCAATATGGAGTTGGCCCCGCCCTTTCCACACACATGACCTTTAATGGCCCCCCAGTCTTAGTCCGTAGGGTTCAATATGGAGTTGGCCCCACCCTTTCCACACATATGACCTTTAATGGTCCCCCCAGTCTTAGTCCGTAGGGTTCAGTATGGAGTTGGCCCCGCCCTTTCCACACATATGACCTTTAATGGTCCCCCCAGTCTTAGTCCGTAGGGTTCAATATGGAGTTGGCCCCACCCTTTCCACACACATGACCTTTAATGGCCCCCCAGTCTTAGTCCGTAGGGTTCAATATTGAGTTGGCCCCGCCCTTTGCAGCTATAACAGCTTCAACTCTTCTGGGAAGGCCGTCCACAAGGTTTAGGAGGGTGTCTATGGGAAGGTTGGACCATTCTTCCAGAAGCACATTTGTCAGGTCAGGCACTGATGTCGGGGGAGGAGGCCTGGCTCGCAGTCTACGCTCTAATTCATCCCAAAGGTGTTCTATGGGGTTGAGGTCAGGACTCTGTGCAGGCCAGTCAAGCTCCTCCACCCCAAACTGGCTCCTCCATGTCTTTATGGACCTTGCTTTGTGCATGTTGGAACAGGAAGGGGCCATCCCCAAACCCTTCCCACAAACTTGGGAGCATGAAATTGTCCAAAATGTCGCCTTAAGAGGTCCCTTCACTGGAACTAGGGGGCCAAGTCCAACCCCTGAAAAACAACCCCCACATCATAATCCCCCCTCCACCAAACTTTACACTTGGCACAATGCAGTCAGGCAAGTACTGTTCTCCTGGCCACAGCCAAACCCAGACACGTCCATCGGTTTGTCAGACACAGAAGCGTGATTGGTCACTCCAGAGAACATGTCTCCACTGCTCTAGAGTCCAGTGGCGGCGTGCTTTACACCACGGCATCCGTCGCTTTGCATTGCACTTGGTGATGGAAGGCTTGGATGCAGCTGCTCGGCCATGGAAACCCCATTCCATGAAGCTCTCTGCGCACTGTTGTTGGGCTCATCTGAAGGCCACACCATGTTTGGAGGTCTTTAGCTATTGACTCTGCAGACAGTTGGCGACTTCTGCGCACTGTGCACTTCAGCATGCGCTGACCCCGCCCTGTCATGTGACGTGGCCTACCACTTGGTGGCTGAGTGGCTGTTGTTCCCAGTTGCTTCCACTTTGTTATAATCCCACTAACAGTTGAGCGTGGAATATTTAGTAGCCAGGAAATGTCACAGATGGACTTATTGCACAGGTGACCACCTATCACGGGACCACGCTTGGAGTCACTGAGCTCCTGAGAGCCACCCATTCTTTCACCAATGTTTGTAGAAGCAGTCTGCATGCCTAGGGGCTTGATTGTATACACCTGTGTCCATGGAGGGGATTGGAACACCTGAATCACATGATATGGAGGGGATTGGAACACCTGAATCACATGATCTGGAGGGCGGGGCCCAATACTTTTGGCAATATAGTGTATATCTTCATCTAAGGCGGGATATAAATCTGTTCGTGGAAGGGAGGAGGTATAAATCTGTAGAGAGGAGGAGGGCGGTATATAGCTGGGGCAGGGGATATATACTGTATCTATGCCTAGAAGGGAGGGTGACTATATATCTGTGTCTGGAAGGGAGGGGGGATATATATCTGTGTTTGGAGGGGAGGGTGGGTACATATCTGTGTCTGGGAGAGGGGGGTATATAAATAAATCTGTGCCTGGAGGGGAGCAGGGGGTTATACATGTGTACGTGTTGAGGAAAGAGGGGCCTCGGCCTGGTGGTGGGGGAGGGGTTGATGAAGGTGAAGGTTCGGTCCCTCCTGCTCCACCCGCCAGGCCAGATTCCACCATCACAGTCATTCTGACATCACAGCTCGCGGTGCATCTATTTATAGCATACATTGGTGCGTCTATTTATAGCATACATTGGTGCGTCTATTTATAGCATACATTGTCATTTTATGAGATATTTATCTGTTCTCTGATGCTCCCATTCTGAAGGTCAGAGGTCAGCTTTAAATACACTTTGAGGAACATGGTGGGGATTGGTAGTGACACCTTATACTGAAATCTGCATGTTTCCACTTCTAGTTTCCTGGAAGCTCCTCCTCCTGCGTTCCACATTGACTGCAATTTATTCTCAATATTTGATCACTGTCCAGGCTTCGAGGATCTGGTTGATCAAGTGTCAGGATTCATAGGAGGGGGTAGGCAGAACGATTAAGAGGCTAAAAACAAACCAGCCAATCAGAAAGCAGCTCTGGTTAATGTGATCTGCACACATTGTCTTGAACTTGTTTCTGATTGGTTGATATGGGAGGTGGGTTTGTATTGTACAATCAGATCACTTTTTTTGGGCCATGTGATTTGAGACACAAGAATTGCTCTGCGGCCTCTCCTGGTGATATGTCCGTGTATACTGGACGATCTCTCTTTCTCTCCCTCAGAATGGGCGCAGAGGGATCTGGATCGCATCGAGCAGGTGAAGTTTTGCCGCCAATATATCATCTTCCACGATAACAATGCGGTGGTGTATGCTGGGGCATGCGGCAACGGCAGTGAGATTAGAGGAGAGTAAGTATAGAGAAGACTGTAAAATTTCTGCTGCTTAATATGGGGCACAGTCTAACCATTTCCTACCTCCACAGACTGCTCAGTAGTGAGTCCCCATCTGGAGCTCTGAAAGCCGTTCTACGAGAGACGAAGAATAAGAAAGGGGAGGACACCCAGTTCCTGGAGGTAGGACACCTTGGTTCCTGGGGGGGGCGGGATGGGGAGAGTGCACCTGGTTCCTGATGTGTGAAGAGGGAGGAAACCTGATTTGTGAAGGGGGGGGAGGACACCGGGTTCCTGGAGGGTAAGAAGGGAGAGGGTTCCGGGAAGTAGGAGGGGGGGGGAACGGGGTGGATGCCTGGCTGCCAGGGGGTGGGAATGGGGTAGACCGCCCGGCTCCCGGAGGGTGGGGAGGACGCCCGGCTCCCGGAGGCTGGGGAGGACGGACGCCCGGCTCCCGGAGGCTGGGGAGGACGGACGCCCGGCTCCCGGAGGCTGGGGAGGACGGACGCCCGGCTCCCGGAGGCTGGGGAGGACGGACGCCCGGCTCCCGGAGGCTGGGGAGGACGGACGCCCGGCTCCCGGAGGCTGGGGAGGACGGACGCCCGGCTCCCGGAGGCTGGGGAGGACGGACGCCCGGCTCCCGGAGGCTGGGGAGGACGGACGCCCGGCTCCCGGAGGCTGGGGAGGACGGACGCCCGGCTCCCGGAGGCTGGGGAGGACGGACGCCCGGCTCCCGGAGGCTGGGGAGGACGGACGCCCGGCTCCCGGAGGCTGGGGAGGACGGACGCCCGGCTCCCGGAGGCTGGGGAGGACGGACGCCCGGCTCCCGGAGGCTGGGGAGGACGGACGCCCGGCTCCCGGAGGCTGGGGAGGACGGACGCCCGGCTCCCGGAGGCTGGGGAGGACGGACGCCCGGCTCCCGGAGGCTGGGGAGGACGGACGCCCGGCTCCCGGAGGCTGGGGAGGACGGACGCCCGGCTCCCGGAGGCTGGGGAGGACGGACGCCCGGCTCCCGGAGGCTGGGGAGGACGGACGCCCGGCTCCCGGAGGCTGGGGAGGACGGACGCCCGGCTCCCGGAGGCTGGGGAGGACGGACGCCCGGCTCCCGGAGGCTGGGGAGGACGGACGCCCGGCTCCCGGAGGCTGGGGAGGACGGACGCCCGGCTCCCGGAGGCTGGGGAGGACGGACGCCCGGCTCCCGGAGGCTGGGGAGGACGGACGCCCGGCTCCCAGAGGGTGGCAAGGGGGGGGTGGACGCCCGGCTCCCAGAGGGTGGCAAGGGGGAGGATACACAGTTCCTTAAAGGTGAGAAGGGATAACATGCCCAGTTCCTAGAGGAGGGAGGGGGAAGATGTCTGGCTCCTGGAGGGTGAGGGCGGGGGATCATGCCTGGTTCTTTGAGGGTAGGTAAGGGAATCCTGGTTCCTTGAGAGTGGGACGGGGGGGGGGGATGTCTGGTTCCTGGAGTGTGGGAAGGGCCAGAACGTCCAAATCCTGGAGAAAGGGAAGAGGAAAGGGGATGCCCAGTAGGGTTTATGGGGTAGAAGGACACCCGGTATCTGGAAGCCACGAAGGACTCCTGGCTGAGCAGTAACAGGATGGTTGCCTACCTCCTGGAGGGTGGGTAGAGGGACAGATGCCAAACTTCTGGAGGCTGGGAAAGGGGAGGATCCCTGTAGTGTGTAGAGAGTGTATTTTGTCCAATTAATACCAATACGAATGTCCTCCACTACCCAGGTCTGGGACAAGAACCGTAAGGTGAAGAGCATCAACCTAACAGCACTGGACAAGCATGGGAAGGTGTACGAAGATGGTGAGGGATACTATTATTAGGTGTTCCTGCATGGCGACCACTTCCTGTTATCTCACATATATATTCTTATTATAGCCAAATTTACCCCCCTAACTCCTCCCACAGTTTTTACACTACATAGACAGTAATATACCGACACGTGCGGATTGTTCCCGATTGGTGTGCTATCACTTTGTGGAACGTTTCGCCAAACGGTTCACAAAATATCGGCGTTTTTGTGGTAAAATTGGTCCCATTGGAATGAATGGCGGAATGTTCAAAACTAGAGTGGGAGCTGACAGAAGCTCGAGTGGGAGCTGAAAAATCAGGACATGATCTCTAAACTTCCATCACTCCCTCATTTTCAAGCCCACCTACACAAATCTTATATCAAAACGTCCAGCTATTCCTGCTGCCACTAAAAATGTCCACGGCTAAGTCATAGTCCTGATAGTTTTCACAATATGACTATTTGTTTGCAACTCACTCCACCCATTGACATTCATTGAAACTCCACTCTAGCCACCTCAAATTTGAAGGGCAATTTCTAAACTGCGACTGTGCCTTCATTTTTAATATTTCAGAGACATACTATGCATCAAAATGTAGGTCAGGGTCTTGTGATTCTCACAATATAAAGCTCTTCGCTGTAGGATTTATAGTTTTTAAAATTACGACCATTTGAAGACCCCAGTGAGGTGAGCAATTTGGAGCAGTTTGTTTTTAACCGCTCTTCTCTGCCCTATTTGAAATCTAATTTTGAATTGGTAACCGTTTGGCCGGCTTCTGTTTAAAGGTTTGGAAATAAGTTTTCTACAGTAGAGAGTTTGTGAGGTGATAATGCTGCTAATGTGTTTATAAATGTGTGTTTTCATGTCACTGTGAAGCACTTTGGGCAACAACATTGCAATTAAATGTGTGATATAAATAATTAAAGGTTGAAATGCATTTCTCACTCTATCAAGCTTGCCATGGGCACTTTTTACATTTCATCAATCAATTGGTTAGTGTAATGTTTACTATCTTTACTCCGCCCACTCCACACAGTTACTCCACCCACTCCAAAAAGTGACTCCGCCCAGTCCAACCTTTTCACAGTTACTCCGCCCACTCCAACCACACAACAGTTACTCCGCCCACTCCAACCACACAACAGTTACTCCGCCCACTCCAACCACACAACAGTTACTCCGCCCACTCCAACCACACAACAGTTACTCCGCCCACTCCAACCACACAGCAGTTACTCCGCACACTCCAACCACACAACAGTTACTCCTGCCACTCCACCCAGTTACTCCTCCCACTCCAACCACACAACAGTTACTCCAGCCACTCCACCCAGTTACTCCAGCCACTCCACCCAGTTACTCCAGCCACTCCACCCAGTTACTCCAGGCACTCCAAGCACACAACAGTTACTCCAGGCACTCCAACCACACAACAGTTACTCCTGCCACTCCACCCAGTTACTCCTCCCACTCCAACCACACAACAGTTACTCCTCCCACTCCAACCACACAACAGTTACTCCTCCCCCACTCCAACCACACAACAGTTACTCCAGCCACTCCACCCAGTTACTCCAGCCACTCCACCCAGTTACTCCAGCCACTCCAAGCACACAACAGTTACTCCAGCCACTCCAAGCACACAACAGTTACTCCAGCCACTCCAAGCACACAACAGTTACTCCAGCCACTCCAACCGCACAACAGTTACTCCAACCACTCCAACCACACAACAGTTACTCCAGCCACTCCACCCAGTTACTCCGCCCACTCCAACCACACAACAGTTACTCCAGCCACTCCACCCAGTTACTCCAGCCACTCCAAGCACACAACAGTTACTCCAGCCACTCCACCCAGTTACTCCGCCCACTCCAACCACACAACAGTTACTCCGCCCACTCCAACCACACAACAGTTACTCCAGCCACTCCAACCACACAGTTACTTAAGCCACTCCACCCAGTTACTCTGCTCACTCCAGTTGTAGACTACTGGTGGAGGCAAGAACACTTCACACAGTTTCCCCAGAAATTGTAGCTTTTCTAGATAATATTATAATGCCAGAACTGTTCATGTGCAGAGACTCTACAGGGCCTGAGTGTGGAAACAAGATGGCGTATGCTGTGTATCACTTTGGGAGAAGGTGGTATCCGAGTCCCATGTCCGCCCTTTCACCATCTGTCCCTTCTCTCCCTGCAGAGCAGTTTGGCTGTCTGTCCTGGTCACACTCCGAGTCTCATTTGCTGTACATCGCCGAGAAGAAGAGACCCAAGACCAAGTCATTCTTCGAATCCTCAGCCGGAGACCTTCCCGCCTCTACAGATGAAGATGATGACGGCGCTGGTAAAGTGGTTAAGGTGAGGAGCAATACCAGAATGATTATTTTATTCACCTCGCTTCTCCAGAGAGTCAAATTAATTTTAAAAAAATTATGGAAACAAAGCTTTTAAAAATGTGTGTATGTATATATGTGTGTGTGTGTGTGTGTGTGTGTGTGTGTGTGTGTGTGTGTGTGTGTGTGTGTGTGTGTGTGTGTGTGTGTGTGTGTGTATGTATATATGTGTGTGTGTGTGTGTGTGTGTATGTATATATGTGTGTGTGTGTGTATGTATATATATGTGTGTGTGTGTGTGTGTGTGTGTGTGTGTGTGTGTGTGTGTGCGTGTGTGTGTGTATATGTGTGTGTGTGGACTGTTTTGTTGCCAGCGGTTTAGACATGGCAGTGTGTTGAGGTACTTTGAGGGGGCAGCAAATTTACATGTTATACAAGCTGTACACTGACTACGTCACATTGTAGCAAAGTGTTATTTCTTCAGTGTTGTCACATGAAAAGAGAGAATCAAATATTTACACAAATGTGAGGGGGGGAGGACTCGCTTCTGGGAGATACTGTGTGTGTGTTTGTATATATGTATGTGTGTGTGTATATATACACAGTGGGGATCAAAAGTTTGGGCACCCCAGCTAAAAATTTATATTAATGTGCATAAAGAAGCCAAGGAACGATGGAAAAATCTCCAAAAGGCATCAATTTACAGATTAGACATTCTTATAATATGTCAACAAAAGTTAGATTTTATTTCCATCATTTACACTTTCAAAATAACCGAAAACAAAAAAATGGCGTCTGCAAAAGTTTCGGCACCCTGCAGAGTTAATATCTTGTACTGCCCCCTTTGGCAAGTATCACAGCTTGTAAACGCTTTTTGTAGCCAGCCAAGAGTCTTTCAATTCTTGTTTGAGGTATCTTTGCCCATTCTTCCTTACAAAAGTCTTCCAGTTCTTTGGGATTTCTGGGCTGTCTGTCACGCACGGCTCTTTTAAGGTCTATCCATAGATTTTCAATGATGTTGAGGTCAGGAGATTGTGAAGGCCATGGCAAAACCTTCAGTTTACGCCTCTTGATGTAATCCCCCGTGGATTTCGAGGTGTGTTTAGGATCATTATCCCTTTGTAGAAGCCATCCTCTCTTTAACTTCAACTTTTTCACAGATCGCATCAAGTTACCATCCAAAATTTGCTGAAATTTTATTGAATCCATTTTTCCTTCTACTCGTGAAATGTTCCCTGTGCCACTGGCTGCAACACAACCCCAAAGCATGATTGATCCAACCCCATGCTTAACAGTTGGACAGAGGTTCTTTTCATTAAATTCTGTGCCCCTTCTTCTCCAAACGTACCTTTGCTCATTCCGGCCAAAAAGTTCAATTTTAACCTCATCGGTCCACAGAACTTGTTTCCAAAATGCATCAGGCTTGTCTATATGTTCATTTGCAAAGTTCAAACGATGATTTTTGTGGTGAGGACGTAGAAGAGGTTTTCTTCTGATGACTCTTCCATGAAGACCATATTTTGTACAAGTATCTCTTTATAGTGGAATAGTGTACCACAACTCCAGTGTCTGCCAGATCTTTCTGGAGGGATCGTGCAGTCAAACGTGGGTTTTGAATTCGTTTTTTCTCACAATCCTGCGAGCTGTTCTGTCTGATATTTTTCTTGGTCTTCCAGATCTTGCTTTAACTTCCACTGTTCCCGATGACTGCCATTTCTTAATTACATTCCGAACAGAGGATATTGACATCTGAAAACGCTTTGCTATCTTCTTATAGCCTTCTTCAGCTTTGTGAGCGTCAACTATTTTCAGTTTCAGTTTTCTAGACAACTACTTAGAAGAACCCATGGTGCTGATTGTTGGGGCAAGGTCAGATGAGTCTGGGCATTTAAAACCTTTGAGATTGACATCACCTGGTCTTCCCAGACGATGATTGAGAACAATCCATGACACTGGCAGGTCTCAGCTTGGCAAAGGGGGCAGTGCATGCTATAAATTCTGCAGGGTGCCCAAACTTTTGCAGACGCCATTTTTTTGTTTTCTGTTATTTTGAAAGTGTAAATGATGGAAATAAAATCTAACTTTTGTTGACATATTATAAGAATGTCTAATCTGTAATTTGATGCCTTTTGGAGATTTTTCCATCTTTCCTTGGCTTCTTTATGCACATTAATACAAATTTTTAGCTGGGGTGCCCAAACTTTCGATCCCCACTGTATATATGTGTATATATGTGTGTGTATATTTATATGTGTGTGATTCTGCACAGCTGGCCCGCACTGTAGCAGTAAAGCCGCAGTGCACGGTCGGGAACTGGTTAATTAAAATAGTTAAATGCAGTTCCGAAACGGTCTTGCCTACCAAAGGTTTTGTAATTTTGCGTAGTCATTCTTCTCTCAGGATTGCTATCCCCTTCTTCAAGGTGACTGTCATTGGGTGTCCGTCTGTCTTGCAGGGTGATCAGTTTGTGCTGCATGAAGATTGGGGCGAGTGCTTAGTGAACAAGAGTACCCCGGTGCTGTGTGTGCTGGACATAGAGAGCTGCAATATCTCCGTCTTGGAGGGGATCCCAGAGCACGTGTCGCCGGGACAGGTGAGAGAACCCCATTCACTCCACCCAACCCCCCCATATTGGCATCCTTGTCCCCCACCCCACCCACCCACTTCCTTTAATGACATCCTTGTCCTCATGACCACCTCTCCCTATAGGCCTTCTGGTCCCCAGATGACACTGGTGTTGTGTTTGTCGGGTGGTGGCACAGTCCCTTCAGATTGGGCCTGAAATACTGTGCCAACAGGAGGTAAGAGTCTCATGTGTAGGGTGGTATTCGGGGTGTTAGTTCAGGTTGTCTCACTCTTATCTCTCTCTTATCTCTTCCCCCCCCCCCCCCCCCCCCCCCCCCCCCAGATCAGCTCTGTTCTTTGTGGACCTGACTGGTGGAAAATGTGGTGAGTTGAAGATCCAGTTATCCCTATCCTGTACAGGATGCAAAACATCCTTCTTACTGCTTGCACTGTTCTCTGTACAGCACTGCGGTATATGTCAGAGCTATATAAATGTATAATAATAGTGTGTGACTGTGGGGGGGGGGGGGGGGGCATTAGAGTGTCAGCTCCTCTGGTACAGAGACTGATGTGACTGTGGGGGAGGGGCAATAGAGTGTAAGCTCCTCTGGTACAGAGACTGATGTGACTGTGGGGGAGGGGCAATGGAGTGTAAGCTCCACTGGTACAGAGACTAATGTGACTGGGGGGGAGAGGGGGGGACATTAGAGTGTAAGCTCCTCTGGTACAGAGACTGATGTGACTGTGGGGGAGGGGGCATTAGAATGTAAGCTCCTCTGGTACAGAGACTGATGTGACCGGCTCAGTGTTCTCTGTACAGCGCTGCGGTATATGTCAGAGCTATATAAATATATAATAATAGTGTGTGACTGTGTTGGAGGGGACATTAGAGTGTCAGCTCCTCTGGTACAGAGGCTGGTGTGACTGTGGGGGAGGGGACATTAGAGTGTAAGCTCCTCTGTACAGAGACTGATGTGACTGGTTCAGTGTTCTCTGTACAACTTTGATAACAATGTACAATGACAGGACTCCATAGCGCCCCCTTTGGTGTTATTGGATGACTGTGAATGTCTTTTGTCTCTCTCCTCCAGAGACTCTCTCTGTGGATTCCTCGGCTGTCTTCTCCCCCCACGGCTCAGCCCAGACAAGTGTCGTATTGTGTATCTGAAGTGTGACATGTTCGGCCCTCATCTCCAATGCTGCCAGCTGCTCATGGTACCTGATTTCCTCTGTTCATGTGTGCGATCTGTCAAATCTGTCGTCATACAATCCTGATAGACCTTATATAGCGCCCGATAGGCATTGAAATCCTAGAGAGCGAATTGCTGGGCACTGTGAGGTCATGACTGGAGCTTCATACTGAAATAGGGGAAGGCAGATGATGGCAAATGGTAAACCTCAACTCCAGACCAAACGGGTGTTTTATGTCGGCTTTTAATGAATGTCTCCACTGGGAGAATTTACAACACTTCTTATTCCCGGGACAATACCTTTCCCCCCCTTCCAGTCCGGACACTTTCCCCCCTTCCAGTCCGGACACTTTCCCCCCCTTCCAGTCCGGACACTTTCCCCCCCTTCCAGTCCGGACACTTTCCCCCCCTTCCAGTCCGGACACTTTCCCCCCCTTCCAGTCCGGACACTTTCCCCCCCTTCCAGTCCGGACACTTTCCCCCCCTTCCAGTCCGGACACTTTCCCCCCCTTCCAGTCCGGACACTTTCCCCCCCTTCCTGTCCAGGCCAATTTCCAGCTTTCAGCGCTATCACACTTTGAATGGCAATTGCGCGGTCATGCAACACTGTACCCGTATGAACTTTTTAGCATTTTTTTGAGACAGATAAAACTTTATTTATGTGGTATTTACTCACCACTGGGATTTTTATTTTTTTGCCATATAAATGAAAAAGTCCAAACATTTTGAAAAAAAGTGTTTTTCTTATAAAATTTAGCAAATTAATAATCTTTCTTCTTAAATCTTGGCCAAATTGTAATCATCTATCTTTTTAGTTAAAAAAAAAAATAACCCAATATAGTTTATAACGAAAAATTATAATTTTTCAAAAAAAGTTGACATTTTCATTTTATTTTTTTATATTATGATTTGTATGGGGTTTTTTTTTGAGCACTGTCACCCTAGCAGTACAGGGCCACCATAGTGACACTGTCCTACTTGTGGGGGATGATGAGGATTTTTTTTTTTTTTACACTGATTGCTTTTACACCCCATAAAGGCTGTAAAAGCAATCATTTCTCCTTCTCTCTGGCTGCATTCCTGCAGCCATTGAGAACTACTGTGAGAGCTGTGATTGGTCACAGCTTGTCACATGGTACAAGGCTGTTGTGAATGGCCCTGTACCATGTGATCTCTGTGATCATTCACAGATTTCACACGTAGTAAGCAATGATGTCAGTTAGTGGCATCTTGCTTACTACTATTCATGTGATCACTGATTGGCCAATCGGTGATCACATGATCGGGACCTCGCACAGAGGTCCCATACAGCGATCTGTGTTCTATATACATGGGCCGGACGGGAAGTGGTTAAAGGAATGGGGATTGCAAAGACAAGAGGGTCTCCAGGACACAAAAATAAGGAGCAATAAGAAAAAAAGTTCCAATTCTTCTATAGGAAAAATAAGTTTGTTTAATGCTGTATGTCTCCTACGAGTTTTGTCTATATCACCCCCCCCCATTCCCCATCAACAGGACAAGAAGTGGGAGGAGATATCCCGTGGGAACACTGACAGAGGGTCTAACAAGTGTCCCCATTAGAGATTTCCCCTCACTTGACGTTATGGTCACCATTAAAGGAAATGAGTGTGAATCTCCAGCGCAGCGACCCAGACAGCAGTACAAACCAAACAGAGGTTCGGAAATCCACTGTAATCACTGGACTGGGATAGCGCCACCATGTCTGACCACCAGTGAGCCCTGTGGCTGAATTATGGTTGGAGTCGCCTGTAGAACGCCCATGGCTGATTTACACTTCCTGTCTGAAACCCCTGTGGAAGGCCCGTGGCAGGTTTACACTTCCTTTCCGAGTCCTCTGTGGAAGGCCTGTGGCAGGTTTACACTTCCTTTCCGAGTCCCCTGTGAAAGGCCCGCGGCAGGTTTACACTTCCTGTCTGAAACCCCTGTGAAAGGCCCGTGGCAGGTTTACACTTCCTTTCCGAGTCCTCTGTGGAAGGCCTGTGGCAGGTTTACACTTCCTGTCAGAGTCCCCTGTGAAAGGCCCGCGGCAGGTTTACACTTCCTGTCTGAAACCCCTGTGAAAGGCCCATGGCAGGTTTACACTTCCTGTCTATGTCCCCTGTGGAAGGCCCATGGCAGGTTTACACTTCCTATCCGAGTCCTCTGTGGAAGGCCCGTGGCAGGTTTACACTTCCTGTCTGAAACCCCTGTGGAAGGCCCATGGCAGGTTTACACCTCCTGTCTATGTCCCCTGTGGAAGGCCGGGGCAGGTTTACACTTCCTGTCTGAAACCCCTGTGGATGACTTACACTCTGTGTCTGACCACCATGAAAGGCCTGTGGCTGGTTTCTAGCTGGAACTCTTCCTGACCACAGTGAGATATTGTTGGCTTCATTCTAGTTTCCTCTCTTGTTTCTTCCAGTATGATTGGTACACAAAAGTGACATCTGTGGTGGTGGACATTGTTCCCAGATCCAGTGATGGTGAGTGGGGTGCTCGCTTGGATTGCCCTCCATCCTGACATTCCCAGTCTGGACTAATCCCATTTTCTCTCCGCAGGAATGTTCGAGGGACTTTACACCTGGCTGCTGGCTCCGTTCTGCTGGGCAGCTGACAGTCGGAGGGTCATTGTGGACACAATGCTGCACAGTCAGCAGGTAAGGGGACTGGTCCAGTGTGTGATCAGCCATTTTCTGTCTGTGTACATGTATAGCATCCTGTGTGTGTCAGTCGTGGACCAGTCGTTAAAAATCACCTTTCAATCTTTTCTTTACGCAGAATCTGTATGTAGTGGATACGATGACCAGACACGTGACTCTTCTCCAGTCTAAAGGTATGAATGTAGCACAGCAGTCTCCTGTCAGAGGACTCCGGGGAGCATGATTGTGTTGTCCATAGCAAAAACCTGACACACAGTAACCTGTACCTGAGGAAAAACCATGGCTTAGACCAAAGTTTGGGTGGTTGCACACAGGCAATGTGACGTAGCTTACTCAGGGATACTTGATGAGCGTTGGTGTGAGAGTGGCTCCTGGTGGCGAGTCCTGGGGTTCCTGGTGGCGAGTCCTGGGGTTCCTGGTGGCGAGTCCTGGGGTTCCTGGTGGCGAGTCCTGGGGTTCCTGGTGGCGAGTCCTGGGGTTCCTGGTGGCGGCGAGTCCTGGGGTTCCTGGTGGCGGCGAGTCCTGGGGTTCCTGGTGGGTGGCGGCGAGTCCTGGGGTTCCTGGTGGCGGCGAGTCCTGGGGTTCCTGGTGGCGGCGAGTCCTGGGGTTCCTGGTGGCGGCGAGTCCTGGGGTTCCTGGTGGCGGCGAGTCCTGGGGTTCCTGGTGGCGGCGAGTCCGGGCGCTCCTGGTGGCGGCGAGTCCGGGCGCTCCTGGTGGCGGCGAGTCCGGGCGCTCCTGGTGGTGGCGAGTCCGGGCGCTCCTGGTGGTGGCGATTCCGGGGGGCTCCTGGTGGTGGCGAGTCCAGGCACTCCTGGTGGCGAGTCCAGGGGCCCTTAGTGGCGAGTCCAGGCGCTCACTGTAGTCAGTACATTTTCGCCACATGGTAAGTACAGGGGGCACTGTAGCAAGTTTGGAAACATCTACACTGTATGTATTTTCTTGCACTTTAATCCCAATGTGAATGGAGTCAGCAGTCACCAGTGGCAGGAAACCTTCATCTTGTTGAATCCCATTTCTTGTCACATGTTGTACTTTTAGCTTCATTATTGTTTGTGTCTGCCTTATCCCACCAGACTCCACACCAGGCAGCTGGAAGCTGATGGCAATTGACCGCGATTTATTGGTTGTCAGGTTTTCCTCTCCGAGCTGTCCACCAACTGTGGTGAGTCCAATAACTCTGATATGTGGTTTATCCCTGTCCTCCACTTCCTTCCATCGTCCTACAGACACACTTTTCTTCTCTCTGTACAGAAAGTAGGATTTCTTCCCCCGGCCGGAAAGGAGGAGGAGATTATCTGGGTGTCCCTGGAGGAGGAGAATCTCATAGCCGATATACACTGGAGCTACAAGAGCCACAAACCACCTCCAGAGCAGGAGAACCCCCAATACCGTAAGTTCCTGATGGGGTCACTGATAGAGGGGTGCAAGTGGGGACCCAGTCTAAGCAGATTGACATCAGCCATCAGCAGTCTGAAGTCACTCTTGTCTTCCAGCCTTTGTTTAGAGTCCAATCAGACCCAAACCCAGGTAGCTTTGTGTTCTGAGGGGTCATCAGTGCTGCTACAGCCTGCCTCCCTCTTTTTGAGAGCCCCACTGGACCATGAGCAAATATAAGGGACACTTTGCCCTCTAAACCACTAGGGACTTTTTAGAGGGAGAGTACAGGGTCCCCCGACATAGAGGCCATAGGGAGCCCCATGATTTCTGATGGTGGCCCTAGTTCCTGATATCCTAACGGGAGCCATAATGAGCGATTGGGTGCAGGAACATTTAGAAGGTCTTCTGGGTGCCTCTGTTTAACCCCTTCCAGTCCGGACACTTTCCCCCCCTTCCTGTCCAGACACTTTCACCCCTCTTCCTGTCCGGACACTTTCACCCTCTTCCTGTCCGGACACTTTCCCCCCCTTCCTGTCCGGACACTTTCCCCCCCTTCCTGTCCGGACACTTTCCCCCCCTTCCTGTCCGCACACTTTCCCCCCCTTCCTGTCCGGACACTTTCCCCCCCTTCCTGTCCGCACACTTTCCCCCCCTTCCTGTCCGGACACACTTTCCCCCCCCTTCCTGTCCGGACACTTTCCCCCCCTTCCTGTCCGGACACTTTCCCCCCCTTCCAGTCTGGACACTTTCCCCCCCCCCTCCTGTCCAGGCCAATTTTCAGCTTTCAGCGCTGTCACGCTTTGAATGACAATTGCGCGGTCATGCAACACTGTACCCATATGAATGTTTTAGCATTTTTTTGAGACAGATAAAGCTTTATTTTGGTGGTATATATTCACCGCTGGGATTTTTATTTTATTTTGCTATATAAATGGAAAAAGTCCAAAAAGTTTGAAGTGTTTTTCTTATAGAATTTTGCAAATAATTAATATTTCATCATAAATCTATTCCGTTATCTTTTTAGTAAAAAAAAAACAAAAAACCCAAATTCATTTATAACCAAAAAATTATAATTTAAAAAAAAAAGTTTTTACATTTGTATTTTTTTTTTAATATTTTATTTTTGTTTTGTTTTTTTTACATACTGTCACCCTAGCAGTACAGTATCACCATGGTGACTCTGTACTACTTGTGGGGGTTGATTATTTTTTTATTTTTTTTTTTTTTTACACTGATTGATTTTACACCCATAAAGGCTGTAAAAGCAATCATTTCTCCTTCTCTCTGGCTGCATTCTTGCAGCCATTGAGAACTACTGTGTGAGCTGTGATTGGTCACAGCTTGTCACATGGTACAAGGCTGTTGTGAATAGCCCTGTACCATGTGATCTCTGTGATCATTCACAGATTTCACACGTAGTAAGCAATGATGTCAGAAGTGACATCTTGCTTACTACTCTGCATGTGATCACTGATTGGCCAATCAGTGATTACATGATCGGGACCTCACACAGAGGTCCCGTACGACGATCGGTGTTCCACTGTGTCTGGAGGACACAGCGGGCTCCTGATCGCGGTACTGCGCGCTCCCAGCTTGAAAATGCGGGTGCCGTTTATGAACGGCAACCCGCCTCTGGACTGCCACCGTCCGGCCATTTATAAACAGCGGCTGGACGGCAAGTGATTAACAATGAACCGGTTGTGTGTTTTTCATTTTGCATGTTTATTATTCTTTTCCTTTGGAATTTTATCTGTGATTTCTTTGCTGAATACTAACAGGTTTTTGTTGTGCCTCTCGCAGCCGGTCTGGAATACGAGTCGATCTTCATGAGGCCTCAGAATGTTCCTGCAGAGAGTCGGATCCCCCTGGTGGTTTATCCTCACGGTTTTGTTGCCGGCGGGTACCTTCTGTGTGTGTCGTCCGTTCCTCTGTCTGCACCATGTGTCACTCTGTCCTTTCTCCGCAGGCGGACCGCACTCTGTGTTTGTCAGTGAGTGGATGCTGTTCCCAGCTGTGCTGTGTAAGATGGGCTTTGCTGTTCAGTTAGGTGAGACTCTGCTGTGTATGGATATTTGGCCACACAACTCTGTACCTCAAATTCATGTCTCTTCTCTTCAATGGCAGTGAATTATCGGGGATCACTGGGCTTCGGGCAGGACAGCGTGATGTCTCTGCTGGGGAGGATCGGTGATCAGGATGTGAAGGATGTTCAGGTGAGCGCACATGTCCATCATGTCTGTATTGACCATATTACTAGAAGTGTCTGCACTTCTGTGTCTGCTTTGTGCCCCAGAGGTCCTCCCCATCACATCATTGCCACCCTTCACATCAGAGGTCCCCCCAACACATCATTGTCGCCCTTCACATTATAGTCCTCCCCCATCACATCATTCCCACTCTTCACATCAGAGGTCCCCCCAACACATCATTGTCGCCCTTCACATCAGAGATCCTCCCCCATCGCATTATAGCCACCCTTCACATCAGAGGTCCACCCCCCATCACATCATTGCCACCCTTCACAACAGAGGTCCTCCCCCATCACATCATTGCCACTCTTCACATCAGAGGTCTCCCCATCACATCATTGCCACCCTTCACATCAGAGGTCCTCCCCCATCACATCATTGCCACTCTTCACATCAGAGGTCTCCCATCACATCATTGCCGCCCTTCACATCAGAGGTCCCCCCAACACATCATTGCCACCCTTCACATTATAGTCCTCCCCCATCACATCATTGCCACCCTTCACATCACAGGTCCCCCATCACATCATTGCCACCCTTCACATCACAGGTCCCCCATCACATCATTGCCACTCTTCACATCACAGGTCCCCCATCACATCATTGCCACCCTTCACATCAGAGCTCTCCCGTCAATCATTGCTGTCCTTCACATCAGAGGTGCCCCCCTTCACATCATTCCCGCCCTTCACATCATTCCCCCCCCCATCACATCATTGCTGCTCTTCACATCAGAGGTCCTCCCCCATCACATCATTGCCGCCCTTCACCTCAGTGGTCCCCCCAACACATCATTGCCACCCTTCGCATCAGAGGTCTCCCATCACATAATTGCCACTCTTCATTCACATCAGAGGTCCCCCATCACATCATTGCCACTCTTCATTCACATCACAGGTCTCCCATCACATCATTGCCGCCCTTCACATTAGAGGTCCTTCCCATCACATCATTGCCACCCTTCACATCAGAGGTCGCCTATCACCTCAGAGGTCTCCCCATCACATCACACATCAGAGTGTCAGAGACTTCTGTCATATCAGGTTCCCCCCCCATACATGAGAACCCCCCCCCCTTCACATCAGAGGTGCCCCCCTTCACATCATTCCCGCCCGTCACATCATTCCCGCCCTTCAAATTATAGGTCCTCCCCCATTACATCATTGCTGCTCTTCACATCAGAGGTCCTCCCCCATCACATCATTGCCGCCCTTCACCTCAGTGGTCCCCCCAACACATCATTGCCACCCTTCGCATCAGAGGTCTCCCATCACATAATTGCCACTCTTCACATCAGAGGTCCCCCATCACATCATTGCCGCTCTTCATTCACATCAGAGGTCCCCCATCACATCATTGCCACTCTTCATTCACATCACAGGTCTCCCATCACATCATTGCCGCCCTTCACATTAGAGGTCCTTCCCATCACATCATTGCCACCCTTCACATCAGAGGTCGCCTATCACCTCAGAGGTCTCCCCATCACATCACACATCAGAGTGTCAGAGACTTCTGTCATATCAGGTTCCCCCCCCATACATGAGAACCCCCCCCCCATCACGTCAGAGTGACCCAATGACAGAATCTCCCCACTACATTAGATTCCTCCATCAACAAAGAGTCCTCCCATCCATCTCTGATCCAGGGTAAACTGGGACTGGTGCTTGTACCAACCCCAGGGGAACCCTGTCAAACCCTGGTTGAGACAATGTGACAAAGACACAGATTCCTTGATCAACCATTAGATGGTGCAGCTAGTCATCACCCCATCTATCCACATTAGACACACCCCAATTCTCTGATCCACCAATAAATGGCGCAGTCACTTACCACCCTATATATACACACCAATAGATGGCCTTCCACGTAGAGATGTCCCTCTATAGACAGCAGTAGTTGTGTATTTTATCCAGTAGCTGGTGCAGTTACTAATATTCCCATCTTCCCCCATACAGACAGCCGTGCTGCAGGTTCTTCAGGAGGAGCCGGTAGATCCACAGAAGGTTTCATTATGTGGCGGATCGCACGGAGGTTTAATCTCCTGCCACCTGATTGGACAGTACCCTGATTTCTACAAATCCTGTACTGTCCGCAATCCTGTGACCAACATCACAACAATGGCCGGATCAACAGACATCCCGGACTGGTGAGATCAGCTGCAACTTTTTTATTTCTTTTTTATTGAACCGGTAGGAGTTGCACTCATGTAAGAACATACATGAATCATTGTGTCATTGTGCTGGTATTCTGAATTTGGTGTTTTATTGTATGTTGTAGATCTATACATTGATATTATTTTTCTCTCTATAGGTGTTATGAGGAATCCGGCTATACATACTCCTACCAAACCCTCCCCAATGGGGCCCATCTGGAGGAAATGTTAAAGAAATCCCCCATCATATATATATCTAAGGTACAGTGTGTAGCAGGCTATGTATCATACATCGGTAGAAAAATCTTCCAGCAAAGCACCCCAACTGAAGCATGCCCTGATTTTGGGCTTGGGAGCAGTGAAATTTTGTTCTTGTTTTATGTCTCTGTGCTCACAGAGATCTGCTGTAGTATTGGGGGTCACACTGTGATCACAAGAGATTCAAATGGTATAAATTGGGTCATACTGAGCTCATTTGAAGTTCAGACAGTAAGTATCCAATTAGAAGCTCCAATCGTCCATGTCTCGTTGTCCCTGGCAGGTCATTACCCTGGTATTGTAATATTAGGGTCACACTAGGCTCAGTTGGGTGTTCAGGGGGTGAAAATCCAATTACAAGAGGTGGGGTGCTGTAATATTGAGGTAAGACTAAGCTCATTTGGCGTATTAGATGGTATTATTGGGGTCATACTGAGCTCATTTTGGGGTTGAGGTGGTGAGTACCCAAACAGTGGATGAGATCACCAGTCTGCTGTCCCGGCAGGTGAGGACCCAGTGCTGTAATATTGGGGTCATACTGGGCTCAGTTGGAGTTCAGGTGGTAATATTGGGGTCACACAGGGCTCAGTTGGACTTCAGGTGATAATATTGGGGTCATACTGGGCTCAGTTGAGGTTCAGGCAGTGAATTTCCAAACAGCAGTTATGATCACCAGTATGATGTCCTGGCAGGTGAGGACCCTGGTGCTGTAATATTGGAGTCATACTGAGCTCAGTTGAAGCACAGTTGGAGTTCAGGTGGCAATATTGGGGTCACACTGAGCTCATTTGGAGTTCAGGTGGTAATATCGGGGTCACACTGGGCTTAGTTGGAGTTCAGGTGATATTGGGGTCACACTGGGCTTAGTTGGAGTTCAGGTGATATTGGGGTCACACTGGGCTCAGTTGGAGTTCAGGTGGCAATATTGGGGTCACACTGAGCTCATTTGGAGTTCAGGTGGTAATATCGGGGTCACACTGTGCTTAGTTGGAGTTCAGGTGGTAATATCGGGGTCACACTGGGCTTAGTTGGAGTTCAGGTGATATTGGGGTCATGCTGGGCTCAGTTGGAGTTAAGGTGGTAATATTGGGGTCACGCAGCGCTCAGTTGGAGTTCACGTGGTAATATTGGGGTCACATAGGACTCAGTTGGACTTCAGGTAATAATATTGGGGTCATGCTGGTCTCAGTTGGGGTTCAGGTGGTAAAATTGGGGTCATACTGGGCTTAGTTGGGGTTCTGGGGGTAATATTGGGATCATGCTGTGCTCATTTGGGGATCAGGTGGTAATATTTGGGTCATGCTGGGCTCAGTTGGGGTTCAGGCAGTGAATTTCCAAACAATTTACGATCACCAGTATGATGTCCTGGCAGGTGAGGACCCTGGTGCTGTAATATTGGGGTCATACTTAGCTCAGTTGGAGCACAGTTGGGTTGGAGTTCAGGTGGTAATATTGGGGTCACACTGGGCTCAGTTGTAGTTCAGGTGGTAATATTTGGGTCACACTGAGCTCATTTGGAGTTCAGGTGATATTGGGGTCATGTTGGGCTCAGTTGGAGTTCAGGTGTTAATATTGGGGTCATACTGGGCTCAGTTGGGGTTCAGGCAGTAAGTATCTAATCGCCAGTCTGTGTTGATAGCACAAATGTGGACCCTGGCACTGTAATATTGGGGTCACATTGGGCTCAGTTGGAGTTCAGGTGGTAATATTGGGGTCACATTGGGCTCAGTTGGAGTTCAGGTGGTAATATTGGGGTCACACAGGGCTCCTTTGGAGTTCAGGTGGTAATATTGGGTCACTCTGGGTTCAGTTGAAGTTCAGGTGGTAATATTAGGATCACATGGCTCAGTTGGAGTTCAGGTGGTAATATTGGGGTCATACTGGGCTCAGTTGGATTTCAGGTGGTAATATTGGGGTCACAGTGGGTTCAGTAGGAGTTCAGGTGGTAATGTTGGGGTTCAGGCAGTAAGTATTTAATCGCCAGTCTGTGTTGATAGCACAAATGTGGACCCTGGCACTGTAATATTGGGGTCACACTGGGCTCAGTTGGAGTTCAGGTGGTAATATTGGGGTCACACAGGGCTCCTTTGGAGTTCAGGTGGTAATATTGGGTCACTCTGGGTTCAGTTGAAGTTCAGGTGGTAATATTAGGATCACATGGCTCAGTTGGGGTTCAGGTGGTAATATTGGGGTCATACTGGGCTCAGTTGGAGTTCAGGAGGTAATATTGGGGTCACTCTGGGTTCAGTTGAAGTTCAGGTGGCAATATTAGGGTCACATGGCTCAGTTGGGGTTCAGGTGGTAATATTGGGGTCATACTGGGCTTAGTTGGGGTTCAGGCAGTAAGCATCTTATCTCCAGTCTGTGTTGTCCCTGGTTCAAATGGGGACCCTGTTACTGTAATATTGGGGTGATACTGGGCTCAGTTGGAGTTCAGGTGGTAATATTGGGGTCACACTGGGCTCAGTTGGCTCTCAGGCAATGAGTATCCAGTGTGAGGCTCTGATCACTAGTGTCTCTATTGTCTCCGGCAGGTGAAGACCCCGGTGCTGCTGATGTTGGGGGAGGAGGACCGGCGTGTCCCGAACACTCAGGGCCTGGAGTATTACAAAGCACTGAGAGCTCACGGTGTCACCGCACGGTCCGTTGCATTTTAGTTATTGTCGACAATTTTTACATTTTTGTCTATACCGGAATATCTCACTTGTCTTTTCCTTCCAGGTTACTTTGGTATCCCGGCAACAACCACGCCTTGGCCAAAGTGGACGCCGAATCTGATGGTTTTATGAACATTGCACTGTGGCTCCTCAAATACCTGGACCAATAGGACCCTGGCTTAAAGTACAGCTCCACAGAAAACTGATATTTCAATGCTCCATATATTGATTCCCCACTCTACATAATAAACTGTGAGAGTGACGCCTTCAAATTATCTCTGCCCCTCCCGTAAGGCCAGAAACTTACAGGAAAATCTCCCCATTGTGGGAGGGGCAGAGGCACAAATTACTACAGGAAATGTCCCCATTGTGGGAGGGGCAGAGGCACAAATTACTGCAGGAAATCTCAATATTGTGGGGGGGCAGAGACACAAAGTACTTTCGGGAATCTCCCCATTGTGGGAGGGGCAGACACTACTGCAGGAAATCTCACCAATGTGGGAGTAACAGAGACACAAATTACTACAGGAAACTTCCCCTTTGTGGGAGGGGCAGAGACACAAATTACTGCGGGAAATCTTACAATTGTGGGAGGGTCAAAGACAAATTACTGCAGGAAACGTCCCCATTGTGGGAGGGGCATAGACACAAAATACTTCGGAATTCTCACAATTGTGGGAGGGGCAGAGACACAAATGACCAGGGGGGTGGGGAGAGACAACCGGGACTAACCTAGAGCTGAAATATCAGTTTTGAATGGAGCTGGCCTTTGAACAAACCATTCTACAAAGGGCTGTGAGCTCCCGCACTCAGGAGGCTGGGATCTGGCGGGTGAGGGTTTGTTTTATACTGGGGGGGCATTCCTAAGGATTTTCGGTTTCCCCGATTTGTATATTTGGGTGCCGGTTCGGCTAGTTTCCTGCTGCTTATTATAAGTTTTAATGCACTTCTGAGAATGTAAAGTACAGAACTTGTTTTGGGGTTCTTCTGGATCGATCGTTTGTCACGCCGAGTTGTGAGGAAAAATATGAATCCGAATTTACTCTGTACTGAGGCCGGATCTAAACTTTTAATAGGGAAAACCTTTTATAATGATCACTACTCCGCCCTCTGGATCCTCTGATGCACGGGTGTCAAACTAGCGGCCCTCCAGCTGTTGCCAAACTACAAGTCCCATGAGGCAGTGCAAGATTGGCAGTTAAAAGCAGGACTCTGAAAGGCAGAGGCATGATGGGACTTGTAGTTTCGCAACAGCTGGAGGGCCACCACTTTGACACCCCTGCGTGACGTATCCATTACTCACCTTCGACTTTCTCTGGGCTGGAATTGGCTCCTTGTTTGCACTGCCGTTCTTTTTAGGGAATGACATCCCCCAATCCTCCCCCCTAGTGGTACTGACGCATCGGAGGGTATTTTAGAGGTTACATTTTGGGGGTCTTTTATAGGAATTACTAAAATTTGCATTTCTGTGCTTTTTTTTTGTTTCTAAAGCAATAAAATATTTGACATTTATCCTGAGGCTTCACTTATGTTTTTTTTTTAGATTTAAAGCTGAAATTTAAAAATGATTGCAAAGGCAATAAAAAAAAAATCTCATGGTTTTACACAGAGCAGCCCTTATCTTGTCGGGTTCATATGTGAACAAGGCAGAGCTCTATCCTGTCCAAGTGGCTGTGCTGGATTTTGTTTCCCTGCAAAGCAGGGAATAAGAACCAGCACATCCCTCAGTGAAAGCATCACCTAGTATACACACAAAACACTTGTGTTTTGTGTATCTCTAGCCTGGACATGTTTGCCGACCGCATAACCTAGTTATACGGCGGCAAAGTGGCTCCCCTGCTCCGGATCATGTATCTAGTACATTATTCAGCACTTATGGGTGGGGGGCGTACATGCACCGCCGCCGACCCGGCTCTGCTGTGATCAGACACAGCAGAAGCCGATCAGCAGGTGCCAGCCAATGGCTGACCGCTGATTGGCGAGAAGAAAGACAGAACAGAGCTCTGCATGTTTGAACGAGGCAGAGCTCTAGCCTGTCCAAGGGCCTGTGCTGGATTTTGTTTCCTTGCAAAGCAGGGAATAAGAACCAGCACATCCCTCTGTGAAAGCATCAGAATAAGAACCAGTACATCCCTCAGTGAAAGCATCACCTAGTATACACAAAAACACTTGTTTTGTGTATCTCTAGCCTGGACATGTTTGCCAACCGCATAACCTAGTTCTACGGCGGAAAAAGTGGCTCCCCTGCTCGGATAACGTACCTAGTACATGATCCAGCACTTCCAGGTAAGGGGCGTGTACGTACTGCCGACCCAGCTGTGCTGTGATTAGACACAGCAGGTG